TTGCCAATCCTCCTCCTTTTTTTCCCCCAAAGCCCCAGTAGATAGTTGTATGTCATAGTTGCACATGCTTCTAGTTGCTGTATGTGGGACGGGGCCTCAGCATGGCCGGAGAAGCAGTGTGTCGGTGCACTTAACCGCTAAGCCACGGGGCCTGACTTGGCTTTTGAAAACAGCCGTTGAAGTCACCGAAAATTTCTGATACAAGGCTGTAGGGAATGCTTCAACTAAAAGACAAGTACTGGTTTGAGAGAAAACAGAAGTGGTTGAGAGAAAACTGTTTCCTCTTGGGCCCCATTTCCAAACCTCTTCCTGCCTTTTCTGACCAAGAGGATAAGGGGATGGCTGTGCATTCACCTATACTTCATCTTTTCCCTTCATGGCCAGTTTTAAGATTTTCCCCTTGAATCTGTGTTTTTAAAAAATTAGTCGTTAGTTTGCTGTTCATGGCATTGGAACATATACTCTACTGAAAGGCCTCTCAATTTCAAAAATCTCTACCCCCAAAACTGAAACTCTTTATTTTCATGAGCAGACTCAATGAATGTTAGAATTCTAGGTTAAAAAAAATTATCCATACTATGATTTTGGAGATCTTTAGATTGTTTTTTTCCTTTTCAAACATCTAAGCTCGATCAGTAAAAACAAGTAAATCTAGAGGGCATCTAAACTTTAAACATTATTTTGTAACATTTACTCTTTGTCGCTATTTTTATGCTTGACCATGTTTTTTTTTTTAATTTAGTATTTTGAGACTCAGACTTGCAAAGACTAAATGCTTATTTCAGTGACATTTGTGGTGTTCCACTTTACTTCTGTTTAATTGAGTGACTGTATGTTCATGACGAGAGTTGTGACTGTGTGCCATCATGCTCTTTTTTTGTAGGCCGCATCTACAAGTGCTTGTTTACCGGCTCCGTGAGCTCGCTACTGACACTGCCACTAGACATGCTGTCCACGTGAGTATCGGACCTGGTAACAGTGGAAGGCTGCACAGTGTAGATGGTGCTCGTTTTTTCCTCCATGTATTTATTTTTGTTATAATTTGAAAAGTCCTTCTGTTCCAAGGACAAATAATAATTTATGTCTCTTATTCTAACAGTTATAGCTACAGTAGAAGTAGCTCACATATATAAGTGATGTTTGTTTTAGAACATACTTGTCATAAAGGAGTTTTGTAATGGTGGGACAGCTTGTTAAATAGGCTGTTGTGCAGTGCAAGATTATGTTCATAGTTGAGAGTTCATTTAAACATGTGTTTTTAATAACAGACATTTGAATTCAAATTCATTTTTTAAATGTTTTTCATGAGTATTAGGATATGGACTCTAAAACCTTGTTCACTGTAGTTGTTTTATTGTATCTTAATTTGACATTAAGCAGTGTAATTGCATTTTTTGGGAAAGAGATATTACATGTGTTTTATTTATTACTGATGTCAGAATTAGAAATGCTGTAAAAGATGAACTATATCAAGATCACTAGAATATTAAGCCTGCAAAAGATTGCACCCATATTTGCTAAATCTTCTTTTCTGCTGAACTGGCCTTAGGTTTCTGATTCTTATGCTAGTGAAGGCAAAGAACAATATAAGACTCTCTTATGGAACAGAAGCATTTGGCGTATATTACCATAAAAATAAGCCAAAAGACAATAGAAGAGAGGCAGAGAACATGTTACATTTCTGATAGAAAAGAAATCAAGAAGGAAGTCTTTTAAGTCTCTTATGTCTGCATCATTATTTTTAATCATGGTTGAAAATACTTAGAAACATTAACTGTGTCTGTAACTTGGTTTCCTACTTGCTGGTTATACCTTTTTTGGATAGAACAGGCAAGTTATTTAGTTTATGTCTGTGTCTTTGGCAGTATAAGAAATAGATAAAAGGTTTTGAACTTGAACCTTATTTACATTAGAATTGTTTTTTGTTTTCATTATTGAAGAACAGCTTTGATAAAGTAATGTTTAGAAGTAGACAAGGACCTTAAAAATAGAGCACTAATGGCTGTGGCCTTGACCAGGAGAAGCAGTAATTGGGCACACTTGAAAGTTTGGAAAGGGTGTGAGAAGGTAACCCTTTGTATAATAATGTAGACCTTCTGTGAAGTGATGCAGTAGAAACAAAGAGGACGACCTTTCTGTTTCTAAACATCAGATTTTTATCTCAGCCATCTAGAACAGAGGCTTAGTATAGAAGCAAGAAAAATCAGTCTTAAGTGGCTCACCTGTCATTCAGTACGTCTGTATGTGACATAGTTCACCTCTGGCTTTCATTTAGGAATTGTATATGAAACAAAGATGCATATTAGAAGTAGTGAGAGGTCAGAAAAAAGCAAGGAGTGAGTGCTCAGAGGGATGGAAGTTATATTTTAACATCTATAAACTAATGGAAAACTATTTCAAACAGGGCAGCCTTGTTCCGTTTAGTTCAAGGCTAAAATTCTATAAATCATTGTAATTTTTGAGAGTACAGTGTAGCAGCCAGTCAGTATCTCAGTTGTCTAGAAAAGGTGACTAGAGTTCTCATTTGTGCTGTTTGTTTTTTTTTTTTTTTTGTGAAGGAGGTCAGCCCTGAGCTAACATCCATGCCAGTCCTCCTCTTTTTTTGCTGAGGAAGACTGGCCCTGAGCTAACATCCGTGCCCATCTTCCTCCGCTTTATGTGGGATGCCGCCACAGCATGGCCTGACAAGCTGTGCATCAGTGCGCGCCCAGGATCTGAACCCCGGGCCGCCAGCAGTGGAGCGCGCGTTTAACCGCTACGCCATGGGGCCGGCCCACCTCATCCGTGCTGTTTAATGAAGCAGAGATATATTACTTCCTTAATGGTTTCTGTTTTAAATGGCTGAATGTGTTAATATTTACCAAAACTTAAATTGGTAGGCTTTGGCTATGTGCAAAACAGTTGTTTATGGAAGCACATCAGTGAAAATGCCGTATAATTGAGGTAGTGTTTGTTCTATTGCTACCATCTTGCTTCTTGTTAGTGGAATTATGGAACATCTGGGAGTTCACATGTGGTCACTTAGGTGATGCATTGAGGTAGGTGGTTGTAACAGAAGGGATTAAAAAATGGCATTGGAATAAAAAACTTCCTGCATCTGGCAGTTTTTTGGTGTCCTTGGGCAAATCATCGGACCTTTCTGAGCCCCAGTTTCCTCGTCAGCAAAATGAGGAAGATCACACCTCAGGGATTTGGGTGGGCTCTTGAGAGATTGAATTCACAAACATACATAACAACTAGGTGCAAATTTTGAGCACTATGTTAATGTATAGCAGAATCATCACCCAGACTCAGGCTTGCCTTACATTGGCAGGCTCCCCTTTTCTCTCTGACCTGGTTGGTTAGTGGGCCACCTGAATTGCCTTCATCAGCCTGTTCATTGACACGAGAGGAACGCTGGAGGCATAGTTGGGGTAGTTGAAAGAAATTGTAACCATGGTGTGGTTTTATAATTCCAGTGCTGCCTTTTACAGTTTGAGGAATTGAGCCAGTTTTTCTGAAAGTACTTGTTAACTAAACTACTTTTTTTTTTTCTGAGTAATGTTTCATTTGCTCTATAAATTTTATTTCTGAAATTTTAAATTTCTTAATATATTAGTACCTGCTACATATTCTATAGCTCAGTTCTTTAGGCCGTCTCTAGGCACAGCATATCAATTAACTGTTGTTGCAGAACATACTGTCTCCAAAATTTAGTGGCTTAAAACAACAGCCATTTTATTTGCTCCTAATTCTAGGGGTAGCTCTTTGTGCTGGGCTCAGGTGATCGGTTCATCTGTTGGGCTTGCCTCTGTTACTCATGTGTGTCACTGGGGTTGGATGGTCTAAGACGGCCCTGGCTGGGGCGCCTTGGTTCTTTTCCTTATGGCCTCTCATCTTACGGAAGGCTGGCAGGGCTTTTTCACGTGGTAGTCTCGGGGCAGCATTCTAAAACGGTGAGAGTGGAAGCTCAAAGGCTCTCTTCTAGGCTCTGGAACTCTGGCAACATCGCCTCTCGTCCAGGCAATTCTCAGAACCAGCCCAGATTCAAGGTGTGAGGGAAAAGGACCTGACAAAGAGCGTATCACCATTTAAAGTTGTCAACAAGCAGTTGTTATTCTTATCGCTGATGACAAAGAAGGAGTCTTTTAGTCCCAACCTATCAAAGTTTTAATGGTCTGGAGGGTTCCTTAGTAAGGTGGTGGTTAGGAGTCCTCTTTTGATTAGGGCTGGGTAATAACTGAGGGCCACATGAGTTCAGTTAAGTTTGGAGCTACTAGGCCTAGGTCTCCCAAATTGACCCTTATTCGAGGTTTCTGTGGAGAAGAAAAAAGTTGTTGCATTATGATAGTGGATTTTCCAAAGGCTACCAAGATTCTTGAGTTACCCTTGGATTATTCAGAGGTCAGACATAGACTAGGATAAGCCCCTTCAGAGAGGAAAAGAACCAAGGGGTTCTTCAGTACTGTAGTACTCCGTGTATTTTCATATATGGTTATAAAGGAACCATACTTGGTCCATCTGAATTTGTTGAGGAACTAATATACTTTTGGTATATTTGCATTTATCCTCAAAATTTCATCTGCTTTCTAAGTGATACATTTCTAAAACGTACTACAGACTTCTTTGTCTTACACATCGCATGCTGAAAAACTCAGCCTTCCTTTCTTTATGTTGTTATTGGGCCTCTCTGGAGGTACTTCTCACGTTTCCGATTTGCTGATTTTGTTGATTTGTGTGGGCTCAGCTAACCAAGTTTGTTAAACTTGTGAGTAAAATAAGATAAGGAAATTCTTAGTAAGGGTTGGACAGCGTCGTTCACCTTTAGTGAATTACACACATTGGATACTTGGCCTTTATTAAGGGTTTGGCTGTTTTTGGTGTTTGCTTGCTGCCCTTCTGTTTCTCAGCCATGTGCAAAGAGAGGCTGTGGACAGCTAATTTCTGTGTAGTTCTGATGTTATTCTTTGCCTACTATAATATAAACACATATAGTACAAATATATAAGTAAATATATTTGGTCAGCTTATAAGATAGATAGATTTTCACTATCCTCTGAAATAATTCTTTTTGAAAAACTGATTTTCACCCAGAAAATTATGACTTACTTTTCTAGCTGTTCTTTCTGAGATTTTAGTGTAAAATGAAATGTTATTTTCCATTTCTTAATTTGAAGTGTTCTTTGGAGTAATTCTATATAATTTTTTTTTAATAGGGACAACTTGTTGGCAGATTGTTTGCAGGGTTGCTTTGTGGTGACATGCACACTGTGTGCGTTCATCAGCCTGGTGTGGTTGCGAGAGCAGATCGTCCACGGAGGAGCGCCGATTTGGTTGGAGCATGCTGCTCCACCCTTCAATGCTCCTGGGCACCACCAGAATGAGGTAACTCCCTCCAACCCCGAATTGATTTTATTTGGGTAGGATGTGAGAATTATTGTCACCCTCTAAGACCCAAACCCTTGACTGCCATGGAAGGAAGGGAGTCTCATTGCAAAGCAGGTCATGAAAAAGGGTTCGGGAGAAGATTAAAGGAGATACGAAAAATCAAAGAATGCTTCTGTGACTTTGCCTCTTAATTTTCTGGCGAGATTGGGAGCAGTATCAGGGGTATCCTAAAGTGCTCTTCGTTCCCTTTGCCTGGGTTAACTGCTTAATGCGGGCATGGAAGTTAAGATACAAACTGTAGCATTGCATATGCTTCTGACATGCTGCACAACATTAAGGAGGCTCTCTAGCCTCTCTATTCATTGGTTTCTTTGTGTGTAAAATGTCTTGCCTTTGCTGCTCTCAGTAGGAACATGACAAAAAGTACAAAAATGGGAACACTGTTGATAATCTTGTGCAGTTTTACTTTTTCTTTATAAGAGATGACATGCTTAGATGCAAGAGCATTTGCTAGAGGTATTACGAAGAGAAGGAGGATATAATAAATGATTTTTAGTATCTTGCTTGCTGAGAAATTATGGTGCTGGAAATGTCCAAAAACTTAGCTACTTATATATGAAAACAATTTACACTTCATAAAGTTTTCATTATGAAAAAATTGACCATGAAATACTCAAAACGATAATTTCTGCTTTTGTCAGTATGTAGCTTGATTTCATCAAATTCTGTCATAGCTTTTTCTCTGGAGAATTAAGAATGCAGCTACTCCTTTGAAAACCACACATATAAAAAATGGCATTATAAAGAAAGGACACGGGGGGCTGGCCTGGTGGTGTAGGGGTTAAGTTCATACACTCTGCTTTGGCGGCCTGGGGTTCACATGTTTGGATCCCGGGCACGCACCGACACACTGTTTGCCAAGCCATGCTGTGGCAGGCGTCCCACATATAAAGTAGAGGAAGTTGGGCACAGATGTTAGCTCAGGGCCAATCGTCCTCAGCGAAAAGAGTAATAATGGTAATGGATGTTAGCTCAGGGCTAATCTTCCTCACCAGAAAAAAAAAAGAAAGGACGCTGTTCTTATCTAGTATTACTTTTATCATTGTACCTCATATTTTTAAGCACTTAGTATAGTTCTCTTTTTATAATCTTTAACTCCATGGTAGTTCAGTGTTTTAATTAACTGCAACTATATCTTTGCGTTTGGTAGGTAGCAGGATTCAGAAAGGGCCAAAGGAGATGCATGTGGGAACTGATGAAGTTCATATGGACAAGCTTTCCTATTAAGCAGAAATTAGAAACTTTTTCCTCAAGTGTTTAACTGAGTACTGAGAATGTGTCTATATGTGTGTAAACAAACGGATACATAAATAAACATATTTTCATGCCTGAGGAGGTCAGTAAAGATAGGAAATGCCTTATAAAGAAGGATCACCGGGGCCAGCCCGGTGGCTTAGAGGTTAAGTGCGCGCGCTCCGCTGCTGGTGGCCCGGGTTCGGATCCCGGGCACGCACCGACACAGCGCTTCTCCGGCCATGCTGAGGCCGTGTCCCACATACAGCAACTGGAAGGATGTGCAACTATGACATACAGCTATCTACTGGGGCTTTGGGGAAGGAAAAAAGGAGGAGGATTGGCAATAGATGTTAGCTCAGAGCCAGTCTTCCTCAGCAAAAAGAGGAGGATTAGCACGGATATTAGCTCAGGACTGATCTCCCTCACACAAAAAAAAAGATCACTGGGGCTGGCCCGGTGGTGTAGCGGTTAAGTGCATGCGCTCCGCTTCGGTGGCCCGGGGTTCGCATGTTTGGATCCCAGGTGCACACCGACGCACAGCTCGTCAAGCCATGCTGTGGGGGCATCCCACATAAAGTAGAGGAAGATGGGCATGGATGTTAGCCCAGGGCCAATCTTCCTCAGCAAAAAAGAGGAGAATTGGCATTGGATGTTAGCTCAGGGCTGGTCTTCCTCACAGACAAAAAAAGAAGAGTTACAGAGTGGTGTATTCTAGATAGCTAGATTTGTTAACCCATTTTCTATGATGCTTTGTGAAATGTTAATCTCTGAATTATACTGAATGGATAGATATACTGTGAAGTGAGTTTACGTGCTTATATACCAGGTTGATCCAAAATCAGATACATTTAGAAAAGATGACTTTGAGAGATGTTTTTTAGAATTTTTATAGAGTTTGTATTTGTTTGCTAGTTTAGTTTTTTTTTACAACGGGGAGTGCAATTTGGACATAGAGCAAAACTGAGACAAGTTAGCTAAATTTCTGGGCCCTTCCATCATTTTAGGCTCCAGCAGGAGGAAATGGTGCTGAAAATGTTGCCCCTGACCAGCCTGCTAACCCACCAGCTGAGAATGCAGTGGTGGGGGAAAACCCTGATGCCCAGGACGACCAGGCGGAAGAGGAGGAGGAGGAGAACGAGGAGGAAGATGATGCGGGAGGGGAGGACGCAGCCGATGCCAACAATGGGGCCCAGGGTAATGGCTGCTGCCTGTCTTCCCCTTTCCCTCGTGACCACGAGTCCTTGCCCCACCTGCCTTGGGGAGAAGGACTGGAGTTTTCAAAATTTAATGGATTTCAAGTGCTATTTCTGACCTGTTTTTACTTTATTTTGGCAAACTCGCATTTATCAATATACAGATATATAAACATTTTTTTTTTTTTCTATGAAGTAGGGCACATTCTGTGTTTTAAAATCCTACTTTACAAAGGACTTCTATAGGATGGATAGGAAGAAATTATTTGTGAGTTGGAATGGATCCTAGTTTTTTTTTTTTTTTTTTTAAGGAATTTGATACAGATTTACCTTATTCTTTTGCCATTTCTATTGAGTCAGTGCAATTTTTAATGTCAAAGAATTTTTGAAGTGTTAGCTGCAGGCCAGATGCCACCGAAAGAAACTTATTTCTCCTTTGCTAGCGGTATAACTCCAGAATGTAAAAGAAGATCAAGACCAGGCCTGCCAGTCAGCTGTCAGTAGCTCGCCGCCTCCTTTTCTCTCCTCCTACCCCAGAGTTGTCCTGTCAAACACTGAACTGCTTCTGAATCCACTTGGCATTGCTGACATCTGAGTGTCTCCCGTGTGCCAGGCGCTCAGATACCAAGTCCCTGCCTTAATGGAGTTCCTGGTCTAGTGCAGAAGTAGGAGTACCCAAGTGAACAAATTTATCATTACACATTGTGATAAATGAGGTGCAGGTTTCTCTGAGGATGCTTTTGGGGAGAGACCTGTTTTAAATAAGATTCCTTGGGTAGCTCAGAGTAAGTGATATTTGAGGTGAGACGTGAAGGGTGAGAAGTGAGTTGTATAATGGGAGCAGGGGCCCTTTGCAGGGAGAGGTGAGCATATGTTCAAAGGCTCTAAGATTGTGGCCTGCTGCTACCCTAGTGTGGGCCGTAATTTCTCTCTCGGTCTAATGCAAGAGCTCCTAACTGGTCTGCCTTCTTCCCCTCTTGTTCCACATGGTATTCATATAGCACTCCTGCCTTTAAAATCTCTCAGTGGCTTTTCCATTGTACTACAGAACAAAAGAAAATTCAGGCCTCACATTCTTCTTGTATGATCTGATCCATGTCTGCCTTTCATACTATGTCTTCTACCACCCTCCTCCTCACCCAGAGCATTCTAGTCTCCTGGCTTCGTTTTCTCAAATCACCAGACTCATTCTTGATTCAGAGCTGTTGCATTCCTCTCTTTTGCATAACCCTATTTTTTTCCTTTCTAGCACTTATCACAATTTGGAATCACCTTATTTTATATTTTGTATTTATTTATATATATTCTTATTTATTGTCTGACAAGCAGATACTCAGTATGGAAAAATTTTAGATGTGGTTTAGCTTCTCAACAACAGCTTACAAAACACCAAATTGAAAGAGTGCATTTTGTTATTTACAGTTCAAGTTCTATCAGTAATCTTTAAACTACTGTTATATTTCCAGATGACATGAACTGGAATGCTTTAGAATGGGACCGAGCTGCAGAAGAGCTTACGTGGGAAAGAGTAAGTAAGACTTCTTTCTATCAAGCAGTCTAGTGCTTTAATCCTAAAGTATATTTTAGAGTTGGGCATATTTAGATGTATACACAAATTTTGTAGTTAGATTTGATGAAAACTTTAATAGAACTTTAATTTCTAGAGAAAATTAAGTGATGTTTGTGGTGAAAATATTATGATGAAGATCTATTGATGACTGTTTTTCTATCTTCTGACCTTTAATACAAACCTTGCTTCAGTTAGAGAATGTTTAACCTGAAATTGTGGACTTTCGAAAAATGAAGTAACAATTTAAATTTAAGTATTATTCTGATGCTTTGATTGACAAAATAATACCGTTGTGTCATGGAATCTTGCCTGGCTCTGTATCTAATATAAGAATTAAACTCAAGGTGGATTTTTTTGAGTTTATGATATGATTTGGAATAAAAGGAGACCCAAAATATACAACTGCCATAAACAGTTTTTTACTCTGAAAAATGATAGGCCGCGTTGGAAAGTAGCAGGTAAGGATTATGTTTAAAGAGATTGAAAGGAAAATGAGCTTTTTTCATAAATAGAATAAAAAATTCTGTTGTGTCTTAAGTTAATGCATATTATTATTTATTTTAGATGCTAGGACTTGATGGATCACTAGTTTTTCTAGTAAGTAAAGTTAATATTTTTTAATAATAAAATTGTGACTTAATTGTCTTAGTGATTCAGGGGTTTCAAATTTATAATATCTGCTGGCTTTTTATACTAAAGGTCAAAATACCCTTTGATTTTTGATTATTTGATACGTTGAAGAAAATCTGTTTTGTGTATTGACAATATGGGCAGAACATAAAGGTAATACTATTTAAAAAGGAAATTATTAAATATTTTATTTTTAGAAAAGAAAATGAAATACAAAGTTAGTGGTAGTTAAGAAACACTTGGTCTTCTTTTGAAGTTCCAGCTTGCAATGTTTAATGTCTGAACTGGTGAAAACAGAGTAGCTTTGCGATGTTCACAGTGAGAGCCCCAGGCTCATCATAGGCTTCCACTGTTGGCTGAACCCCGCTTATCATTACCTTGTTAGTCAAGAGTGCAACTCAAAGATAAGGAACAATTCTTCAAAGAACCTGTTCTTTAAAGGAGAAATGATGCTCTTTTCAGGTTCTGTGATATAAAATCACTTGCCATTTGGGATTTTTTACATACCTTGGGTATCAAGATGACTTTGGCTGCAGGTAGTAGAACCCCTACTGACTGAAACCGTAGTGTCAGAGGAACTCCAGAGCAAGGATGGGCTTGAGGACTGCTTGATCCAGAGGCCCAACAATGTCATCAGAGACCCAAATAATTTCTGTCTGTCTCCTCTGCTGTCTACAGCGTTGGCTTCCTTCTTGGGCTGGCTCCAGATGGGAGCCAGAATAGGAAGTTGAAGGTAGTAGGGTGAGGCTATTGAGGAATGTGTTTGGTGGTAATTCACAGGTTAGTGAGAATGTGATATTAGTGAGTTCCTATTCATGGTCAGTATAGAAGGTATTATTTGGCTCCATACTCATTTATATCCCTTACCTCACCAGTCCCTCATAGATGAGTGACAGAAGTTGTTGAGGCAGTGGTGTTTACTCAGGCTCATTCTAGTTATTGCAAACAGCTGTTTATAGGATGACTTCATTGAAAATTATTTTTAGTATCTACCGTGTGCCAGCTCTTGTGATAGTTACTGGGAGATTCAGAGATAATGAAGTAGGGCCCCTTTTCTCAAAGGTGGTTTATAGTTTGGTAGAGAGAAATGAACATGTAAAGGAGGAGACTCATGTTAAAGATTCAGTGACAAAAGGTGTGCATAGGACACAAGAGGCACGGAAGAGGGCTTGGCCAGGTCTTAGTGGAGGAGAGCTTGTCAGCAGGGAATTTTTAGAGAAGAGAACTTAGAGATTGCGGCACAAAAGGTGTTGGGGATAAGGACAGTTTGGGAGCCCTTAAGGCAAGAGAAGCTGAAAAAATTCAAGTGATATGAACTGGCATGGAGGGTAGGAATGTAGCAGTCATCTCCTAGACAAACTAATCACCCTTCTTGCTGTTTGGATTTTTGGCAGATTGAGGACCTGATCAGAATAATCTTTCTAAAAAGAAAATCTTACAATGTTGGCCCAGCTTGGAAGGATCATTTAACTTGATGGTGAAGGGGAGGTGGTGGGCCTGGACAAATGGGCTTGGGCATTCTAGTAAGTGTCAGCATGGAGCATGACTAAAGTATATGTGACGTGGCTGGAGGAATAGATGAGTAGCAGTCGTCTTGGGGGTAATAATACGTAACTGTGGAAGTGGATCAATGGCCAAGTGAGAATGAGTATTCTGAGAGATGAACAAAGAAAGCTAGGACACCATAGGGAGAAAAGGGACCAGAGAAGATCAGGCGACCTTGCAGAAGTCATGAGAACAAAATGGACAGTGAAAGAAGCATTGTGCAGTTTACATTGTATGTTGTTTAGAAGTAACATGGTTTTCAAATTTTTCTCCATTTGGAATTTTTCGGTGTCATTTGATTTAAATGAAATCTAGCAGTTATTTATGAGAATCCGTGTAGTTTGTGGTGGATTATTAATTTCTGAAGAGGACATGTTTATGAATTGATTTCTTTGATTTTTCTTCTGCACGTAACATGAACTTTGAGTTTTATTAGGTTTAGTTTTATAACTAATGAAAAGTTGTGCATAATTTCTTTGAAGAAATCTCAGCATTACAGAGTGAAAATTTCAGTTTTCTAACTAAATAAGTGGAGTAGTCCAATTAACCATATATTAAATAGGACTTGATGTTTTATTAATACTCTCTTCCTTTAGGAACACGTCTTCTGGGTGGTATCTTTAAACACACTGTTCATTCTTGTTTTTGGTAAGTGATATTTATGCTTTTATTGATGGTGTTATGGTAGGAGTTCAGTTTTCTAGGAGCCTTGTTATGGGGTTTTGTTTTTAAACATAGGAATATATGAAACAGATTTAGATAATAATCCTGTGTGGGAAGGCCCCAGGTATACAGATTCTTTGCCTAAGCAACAATGAGTATGGTTATGTACTGTCTCTGCTTCTGTTGGGCGTTTCTGTCTCTTTTTGTAGAAGCTGATTTTAGACTAACTTGAGAATGTGCAGTATCATACCTCTGGAATTAATGTTGTGCTGATTATGAGTGCTGTTCCTTGTGGCTAAAAATTTGTTTCCTGCGTCCTGGGCGTCCAGGACGTCCCAGCGTCCTGACCAAGGCCTTACCAGTGACCCTGGCTTGGGAGCTGTTACCAGAGATGGCTATAGGCTTGAGGGAAGACAGTGAACCTTCCCCAAGTGTGAATTCCCCTTAGAACCAGATTCTGGTACACGTCAAGTCACTTCCAAACACTTTCACAACTGCAGCTATGAGGTTTCTGTGACAACACGCATGAGTCCCTCCCATTGGGAATAATTAGAGAAAGGAAGGCAGGATTGAGGAGACACAGTTGACGGGTTTTTCTGCTTTGGGAAAGATAAGGGAAACTGAGTCACGTAAACCAAGACGTTAGAATTCAATTCCTCTGTCTCTTGGGAGTGAAGGTGGAGTCTGATAGAATCAGGTTATTGTTAGACTCTGATTTGTGTCTCATAGAGAGGCCTCAGGCTACAGATCTCTCTGTGGGGATGATCTTTGAGAAATTCCTTCCTTAGTGACTGTGAGTCACCCCTCAGTTTGCTGAGGAGGGAGGAGTAAAGATTTCCCAAGGCGGGGCCGGCCCAGTGGCGCAAGCGGTTAAGTGTGCGTGCTCCCCTGCAGCGGCCTAGGGTTCACCGGTTTGGATCCCTGGTGCGCACCAACGCACTGCTTGGTGAGCCATGCTGTGGCAGCATCCCATATAAAATAGAGGAAGATGCGCACGGATGTTAGCTCAGGGCCAGTCTTCCTCAGGAGAGAAAAAGAAAAAAAAAAGATTTCCAAAGGCTCTTCCACTGAATTCCAAGTGATTTGCTCTGTGGTGGGAACCACATTGTGGCCCAGAAAGCAGTTGTCTTCAGCAGGAATCCATGTGGTCAAAAAGACACTGGATATGTAGTTTGAGGATGAGACAAAAAGTTAATTCTGAATATCATCTATAAACAAGAAAAGAAATTTAAGGTATCTTGCTGAAATAAAACATCTTTAAAAAGTTCCATTGATTCTTCATTTTTAGTGTAAATATTTAAGGTGGTGCAAGTTAACAGGAAGCTCAGTTTTTGTTAACCCTTGCATATAGGGGAGAAAACTTGTCTGCAGAGCGTTCTGCATTTATTTTTTATTATGTAAAATAATTGATACGGAGTGTGAAACTGTTTTGATCTTGACTAGGTTTTCTTTGAGAGAAAAAAATCATCTGTAGAATTTAATCTTTGCTCTTGCTAGAAAAGATTAATGCTAAATTAATGTTTGGAGGAATAAGTCACCTTTAAAACATGAATTATAGAAATAAGAACTCTCATTTATATAAAGCAAATCTCATCTCAATAAATATTTTTCTTTCTTTCTTTTTTTTTTTTTTTTTGTGAGGAAGATCAGCCCTGAGCTAACATCCATGGCAATCCTCCTCTTTTTGTTGAGGAAGACTGGCCCTGGGCTAATATCTGTGCCCATCTTCCTCCACTTTATATGGGATGCTGCCACAGCATGGCCTGACAAGCAGTGCGTCAGTGCACGCCCAGGATCTGAACCCCCCGGGCCGCCAGCAGCGGAGTGCGCGCACTTAACCGCTACACCATGGGGCCGGCCTCTGTAAATTTTTTTCTAATCCAATCTCCTAAACTTATACTATGAAGAAAATTTTGTCTTAGTAAACTTATATACATTATAGTTAGGATCTTCTGAGATGAAACAAGAACTTTTTCTCCTTTTAGGAATATACTTTTCCTTTTAGGTGAACACAGTCATTGGGATTAAGTACATTCATGTTTCTTTCCTACTTGGGTTGCTCTACTGCGTTTTCCACTGGCGTTTTTTGGGACTCTTATCGTCATGTACTTTGCAGAAATATAACCTTCCAGTGCTGCTGTCTCCCAGTAGAAGGGAATGATCCTGAGAAACTGACCCTAATTTCAGAGTACCTATTTAGTAGTTGCTGCGTGATGGGATAGAAATTGGTTGTTACAGTTGGTGCTTCAGGTTACTATTTACATGTGTAAATAGAGTTGGAACTTGAAAGTTTGCCTCTCCCAGGAGCCTACTAGAGTTATCCTCAAAGTTGAGTGTGAGAACAAAATTAGAAAAATTCTGTATATTTTCTTACCCTTTAAAATTTCTTGTGCTTTATAATGCATGTAATATAGTAGTGTAAAATAATACATGAGTATAATTTATAAATAAATTTAAATATATTGGGAATACCTGTTCAAAAAAATTCATACCCATGGAATACTTGATCAGAAAGGTTTGGTGGCCAGATCCCTATGGATTCACTGTGACTTTTGTCTTAATGATTGAGTCCCCTTCCCCTGTTCCCGAATAAGCCATGCTGTTCAATTATTTTTGTCATAAAGGAAAGATAATTAAATTTTATAGTTAAGAATGAATTAAAATTTTATTAACATGGCAAGAAAGACTTGAGGAAAAGAGACTATAAAAATTCTTACTATGAAAATTTTAAGGATATTTTCTTATTTAACCATAATATCATTATCACACTTTACAGTATTACCAGAATTTAATATTTCCTAATAATCCATCATATTAAAAATTCCTAGATTGTCTCCTTAAATGTTATTTTACAATTGGTTTGTTTGAATGAGGATCCAAATAAGATCTACAAATTACTTTTGATTGTTAAGTTTTAAGTTCCTTTTATCTAGAATATTCTTCTCTTTGCTCCCCTCATCTACCCCCACCCTATTTTGCTTTGTTTTGTTGAAGAGACTAGTTCAGCTATCTTGCAAGTGCCTCAAGTTCTACATTTGTCCACTTGCTTGCTGATGTCTACTACCTTGCTCCTTTGTCTCCATATTTCTTTTAAACTGGAAATTAGACCTGAGGGCCTGATTAGATTCAGATTCAATACGTTTGGGACAAAACCTTCACTGGTCATGCTTTGCCTATTAATATGACGCATCAGGAGGTCGATGATGTCTGGTTATCCACCTTTATCCATGGTTCAGGTGATGGTATCTTGAAGCCTCTATTGTTAGCTTTCATTTCTCCCTTAACCATCAGAAAGTAATCTGTGGGGGGTGGTGTTCTAGTATCATGCGAATGTCTAGTGTTCCAGCAACATTCCACCTAATGATTTTATTATCCCTTGATGATACTTGCCCGAAATAATTTATTAGGCGTTGCAAAATGGTGATTTTCAAATTCTGGCGTTTGTTACATTTATCGGCTGGCTTTTCTATGAAGAAGTACTCGTTCTTATCAGCTAGAACTGTTTAGTTAACCAGAACTTGTTTATTCAGAAGAAGCAGGACAGATGTGCAGTTCTTTCCCTTTAATTATCAGTTTTCAGGGTAAGGAATTGATGTGCTGTTTCCACTGGTGATGAAAGTGTTTTCTGTTATGTTGCTTTTTTTCTTTTTGTGGTTTTCGTTTTTGAGTATTATGAACTCATGGATTTGTGTGTATTCAATGTTTCCATCAGCTTTGGTCATTATTCTTTTTGATGCTCATATCATCTTCTCTTTGGTGCTGTGAAACCCTCTTCACAGTGGTTCCTGTGTTCTTTTGCCATGAGCCTATTAGACCTTGATAACTTTTCTCTGGTTATAGAGAATGTTCCAGGCAGTACATTTTTGGCCCCAGTTCTGGAATATTTCGTTTCTGTAAGAAGCCCTGGTTCCTTTTAGTGGGGGTTGGTACGAGGAGGGTTCATTGTTTTGGTTTTAAAGTTTTCATTGAGTTTTTTCCCCCCCCTTTTAGCATTTTGCCCTTACCACATTGGTCATTTCTCCCTTGTTGGTTTGGGATTTGAAGAACACGTGAGTATAATCCTTTTACAAACTTACTTTGATTAATTATCCCCAAAGTTAATATTTGTTGAGTAAGGAATAATGTTGGTAAAGAGTTACTTCATTTCTCAGTCTGCCTTATACAAAGGAATAGTTATCCAGCATCGTCTCCATCTTTTCTTTTAAACTAGCAGTGGCTCAAGACACATTAGGTCATGTTGCCAGCTAAGGAAAATGTGCTCTGAATCCCACGTGCGTTCTCTTCCTTCCTGTTGGGGAGACCAGAGGCAAAGTTGGGAAAGTTTTCTTATAGGCTGATTTTCAACCTGTTCCATTATAACTCCCGTGCTCCCTTCTCTCCCTTTTCCCCAGGTGCCCCATAGTGAATTTAGAAAAGTAACAATACATGAAGCAGCTAAAAAAAAAAAAGGGTTGGTCTGACTTGGAATGATGGGCAGTAGTGTTTCTAAAGAATTTGCTTTAATTTTGGCATTTTATCATTTTTCAGAGGTAGATAAATATTTGGATGGACAACTACTGCTATTTTGGGGAGGCCCCAGAAAGATTTAGTCTTTTAAAGAAGAGCTGACAATCTGGAATATTCTGTTCAGTCTGTGTATATGAATCCTGAAAGATCACACTCTGAAGTGTTCTGAAAGGACAAAGAGACATGTTGCAGTATTTAATGCGGCTCTCCGAATTCTCGCTAGTGGAATGTGAGAACTTGAAAGGTTCAGATAAATGCTTTGATAAATTTTGACTTTTGAAACTATTGCCGCTTGCTATCTGAAATTTAGGAGCCTAAAAGATGGGCAGTATTTGTCACTATCCAAACTCTTACTCTCTGTAAATTGAGAATGGGACAGTTCTGGAGAGCAGGGGAGACTTAAACAGTCTCTTCAGTGGTAGGAAGTGAGGTGGCCAGGATGTACCTGGCAGGCGGGCTGCTTGGGCAGCTGCTGCTGCTTTCGGTGCTCAGCCTGTAGCAGATCTCCTTCAGTATAGAATGGCGTATAGACCGTTGTAGTATTACAGCTTTTCCCTTATTTTTGTATAATTTAATTCACTCTACTCTTATGTTGTCTGCTTGAGTAGAGTTACTCTTTAATTTTTCCTCATTCTTTTGTAATATATAGCAGTCAGTCAGAGAGTCTGGTTTGCAGAGATGTCATCCAAAGGGGATTTTATGGTTGTTTTCTAGTTATAAATTGCTTAGATGGTTCACTTTTAGTCTACCTGGATTGTTTAATACATTGTTAAACTGGGGTGTGTAGAACATGTGGTAAAATTAAATTTTACTTATTTTTTTCTTATTTCCAGGTCCAAGCATCTCATTTTGAAGGCCTAATCACAACCATAGTAGGGTATATACTTTTAGCAATAACACTGATAATTTGTCATGTATCCTTTAATGAACCAACTTGGGTGTTCAGTAATGTTAGAGTTGTTTCTACTAACGACGAAACTATTTCCCCTTGTCCTCTTAGTAAAAGTTGTAGGTATTTGTAGTGAGGATGAGGGCAGACAAGATTTGAAATAAATTAATTCTGTCTGTCAAATAATATTAAGTGTCGCCTAAATAGTTACCTGTTTCATTGTACCTTTAAATGATCAGTTTTTCCTTGACTAGATGCTGTAGGGCTTGGCAACTCTTGTTAAATTTCATAGGTCTCGTCGCTTGCTGGGAGTCTGCTATATTGTTGTTAAGGTAATTCCTATTAAGTTAAAGCTGGAAATGATTTCTCCCTATTTGGGTTCTACTGATGACCTTTATTTTTACTTAAGGTCTCTTTGTTAGTGGTGGTGGAAATTGGAGTGTTCCCTCTCATTTGTGGCTGGTGGCTGGATATCTGTTCCCTGGTGAGTTTATTATTCATTACTATACAATCTAATTTAAAGGCTGCAAGAAAGGAGGTCTTTAGTATGGGTTCGTTTTAAAGGAAGGTCAATATTTGATAATTTGCTTATTTTTTTCTGAGGATGTATCATTGTGGAGTCTTAATATTAATTTTTCTTGAGTACCTGATTTTTTTGAGGTTTTGTGCAAATTGTTGATGTCAGAGTATTTTGACTGGAACCTTTCTAATAACCAGTGGAGAATTTTCTGAGTCATTTTAGTCTTGTAAATTTTATACAAATTTTAATATAATTCTGACATTATATACAGTCATGCATCGCTTAACAAAGGAGATAGATTCTCAGAAACGCGTTGTTAGGCAATTTCATCGTTGTGTGAACATCATAGAGTGTACTTACACAAACCTAGATGGTATAGCCTACTACACACCTAGGCTATATGGTATTAATCTTATGGGACCACCATCGTATATACGTTCCATTGTTGACCGAAACGTCGTCATGCAGTGCGTGACTGTACATAGAAAGAACAATCTGATAAGAAGACTGTCATTGTGGTAATAAATTCAACTCTAACCATTTGTTTTAACCATGATCCTTGGTCTTGATTATAATCTTTAATGGCTGTCAGTGATGATCAGTTTCTTAACTTTTCAAAAATATTTAATATGTAGAAAAGCTGCCTTTGGTTCTGAGATAACATTCTGTTCCATATCTTAGTATTAAAACTTTACATAAATGCAGACCTATAACCAAGAAAATAAGGTATTATGTAAACCAAAAATGAGTCTTTCACAGTAGCAGTATTAGTGAAGTTCTTACTCAACAATTGGTTTATCAATCTGGCTTCTTATATTTAAAAATTTTAAAGTGTCATATACGTCTTTGAAGTCATATCCAACCTTATATCACTTACATTTCTGTGACACTATGAAATGACATTAAAAGAACTGTCGTCCTAGAACATCATAACCTACACGCATAGTGATTTCTTCACTTCTTAGAAGGTGGAGATTTTAATTTGGCAAATGTAAGTGGTACAGATCTCTCACCTGTCCTGTTTTGATTTAGGAAATGTTTGATGCTACTCTGAAAGATCGAGAGCTGAGCTTTCAGTCAGCTCCAGGTACTACCATGTTTCTGCATTGGCTAGTGGGAATGGTGTATGTGTTCTACTTTGCCTCCTTCATTCTGTTACTGAGAGAGGTAAGTTCTGGAGGGCAGTGCTGAGACTATACATTTATGAAAAGGACTTTTGCTTTAACCACGGTCCTGTCTCAAAGACTGTGTTGATTTCCTAACTGAATCATTTTCTTTATTATTTTATTCTAAGGAGGAATAACTGATAAACGAGTTTGGCTTAATTGCTTTAAACTGTTTTCAGTCATTTGTCTCAAAAATTGACAGGTTTTAATATTTCTGTCTATAATTAGTTATGGCTTTGAAAGATGGATAGACTGAGGAAAAAAATTAAATAAAAGCACTTATTTTATTTGGTATATATTGTAGCCATCCTCTAATACAAATTTTTGGAATTTTATGTGATGTGAGCCTGTCTTGGACTTTATTCAAGGAAATGTAATGCTGGAAATGTCCAAAGGATATGGTTTTGCAGGATCTAATATGTAAAATAGTCTTGAAGCAGGCATCTTAAGTATAGAATTATAGTGAGGGTCCTTTATGATTCCAGTTCACTTGCCAGATGGGTACCTTTATTAATCCTGTTTTTGGAATACAGTCCCTACTGATTTGAAGACAATGAAAATGGGTCAGTATTTGGTTAGTATACATCTCATGCTCATTCTGTTCTAATAGGAAGTATAAAATTGAGTAATTCTGATAAATGTACTTGCCACTGTGAGTTGTTTCCCCAAATATTACTGCCTGCTCACTCTGTGCCAGAGAGTGTGCTATATGCTGGGGTAACAGTGAGAAACAAAGACGTGGTCCTCATTCTCCTTGATTTTACACTGTGGGAAGGAACACAACCATTGATCAGGTCAGCTTACTCCATTGAGAATAGTGATAGAAATGTGCAGGGCCGGAAAGGCTGACTAATCCAGTGTGAATAGAACACAGAAGCACAAAGGCTTAATACTCTTGGTATACTTTACTCTTTGAGAGATTTGAGGAGTTGGGGAGGGCGCTAGGGGCCAAAATGTTCTCCTGAATCATATGGTGTAAGTTTAGTAAATTCTATTTGTAAATAAAGCTTCTATTGTTTCTTTGAAACAAGTGATTGGGACTAACTTAATAATGTGTTTTTTTAAATTGTAATTATATATGACCTCTAAATTACATTGTTAAGCAATAAAATGTTTTATACTGAATTTTTTCATTTCATTGGCGTGGTGGTTTTTTGTTGATACAAAATTCTAGTGTTTGGGAGTTAGATGGAACCTTACAGGTCGTATCTCATAACCCCCTCGTTTGGAAGATGGAGAAGTAGAATTTGCACAGATGAGACCCTTTACACAGGGTAACGCAACGAGTTTGGACCACCCAAGATTAATACCCAGACTCAGCCGTTGCCCCATCACCCCTAGCCTCTTGGGTTGATGATTTCCACTGAGAGAGGGAAAAAGATGTAGGTAGTAAAATGAAGATCCTGAGAAGCTGTAGGGTTTCTTAATTAAGATAAACTCCTCTTGGGAAGTGTCAGACTGAAATCAGATCTTCTGTTTAGAATCTTTATAAATTGTGACCTCATGCTTTCACCAGATGATAGAATATAGTAACAATTTTTAAAAAAATATGTATTTTTCATCTGGTAGATCTAGATTTCTTGACAAATTGTACTTAATAAATTTTTTTTTTTTTCATTGAATGGTTAAAAGCATCAAAGGACATCAGACACAGGATAGTTTTCATAAAGATTCTGATTTAGGAATTTCTTTTCCCAGGAAAGCCATATGGATTTTCTGGGGCCCATTTTGTAAGATGCCAAAGTAATTTTAAGAGCTTATTTTTCTGTTAATGTTTTAACTCATATACAGAACCTAAAGACATTGGTGAGTATTTATAGCATTTAAAATGTATTTGCAGGTACTTCGACCTGGTGTCTTGTGGTTTCTAAGGAATTTGAATGATCCAGATTTTAATCCAGTCCAAGAAATGATCCACTTGCCCATTTATAGGCATCTCCGAAGATTTATTTTATCAGTGGTAAGCATACTTTTTAATTGTCTTTGTAGTAAACTGTGCTCTCCTTTAGAGATACATATATTTTTTTGGTCAGGGGGACTGGTAGAGTACATTGAGTAATTTATGTTTAGCTAGGCCTGTGGGACTTGGTTGTCAAATGGCTATTTTATCAGTTACCTTGATAAAATAAATAAAATATTTACTAAGGCAAAAATACCTTCTAGTTCTTTAGTAGTATAGTTGCTTGCCAAATTATGAATTTCTGAATTACGTTTAATTTGCATTGAAGCAGTGGAGACTTAATAGCATCTAAATTAAATTCTTAACAGAAGCATCTAAAAATTTCCCTCCTGAAAGAAGAAATTAGCTAGTTAAATCTAAGTTTTTCCAAAATAATATTCTAAAAGCAATATTGTACTCTTTGGAAGCTTTTATAGCCATTAATGTGGGTCATGTCTTATAATGGTTACAGGTGATGTGTTAAGTTGCAGACAATTCTGATCCTTCATTGTGAGTTTCTAGCTCTCTCCTCATGTACCATGCAGTGATTATCCTTTGTGGCTCCTGTTTGAGCCCTTGTGTCCTAGAGAGAGAGAGAGAGAGGAGCAGCTGTCCCAAGAACGCATTTTTTACACAGAGTGACCCAAGTACAGTGTGTCCAGTGAGAACACTCGGGGCCCTGGTGGGTGTGGACTTGGATTGCGTATTGTTTGAGTATTGTGTTCTGAAGTCTGTCTGTCTCTCATGGGAGTAATTTACATTAGAGTCATGCTGTTTTTCTTCTTGCAGATTGTCTTCGGCTCCATTGTCCTCCTGATGCTTTGGCTTCCTATACGTATAATTAAGAGTCTGCTGCCTAATTTTCTTCCATACAATGTCATGCTCTATAGGTAAGGTTTTGAAATTCAAAAGCTTTATTAATTTAACTCCATTAGGGATTTGATATTCAGAGTGCATACATTTAAAACAATTATTTCTTACAGATATTTGAAATCACCTGATAGTTAAATTTTACCATGTTCTAAATCACATAAACATTAGTTTAGCAGTTACAGTTTCCAAAGGAAGACTTACTTATTCTTCTGCAAATGAAGTGTGCCTTTGTTCAGCATTGAAATGTTTACCGTACCTAAGGAGAGTTTGTTAGTAGCATCATCTTTATATGAAAAGCACATCATAAAGAATGCAGCCATAGTTGTACATTTAATTGTGGATTAAAAATAGGATATAAGGCTTATAGATGGAAAATCTTTTTTGATTTAAAAACTTAAGTCACCTGGAAACCTAGTCTCCCCCACTCCTCCTATATTCCCTTTTCAGTGTTTTGCATTATCCCTTCAGTCACCTAAAGCAGAAATCTGCCAGGCAAATTGGATTTCTTCCTCAAATTTACTTCTATTTAGTCTTTAAAACTTGTTAATTCTAATTCTTTAAGATCTTTTGTCTAATCCAATTTGATTTGCCACTTACTACCTTAGTTTAGGCCTTCCTCTGGTTTTCCATTTATAATCCATCCTTAACATCCCTGCCTCTTCCTCCATAATCTACATAATATCCGGTCATTTAGAATGACATATAGGACTTGGCATAATCTCAGCTACCCTTCCAGCATCTTGTCCCAGCACTGTCTGACTTGAATTCCACTCTCCAGCCAGGCTCAGCCTCTATTGAGTCTCCCCCTAAATGCCTAGCTGTTCCTTGTTTTTCTCTCTCGGTTTGAAATGACCTTCTTTCCCATGTTTGCCTGGCAAGCTTTTGCTATCTTTCCTAAAAATTTAAAGGAAGGTCTTATTCTCGGAGTTTTTCCCCTAACTGGAGTAAGTCATCACTCTCTCCTTACGCATTTGGGTCTGGTCATAGTGAGAACCAGGAAGCACAGATTCTGGCTTTATGTTGTTGGGATGGACCCATTTTGGTAGTCAGTTATACTTAGAAGTTTAGCAAAGTTTTTGTGCTGTATAGCAGTGTTTAGTCTGTCCTTCCATTCAACAAAATTGAGGGCCCATTATATGCCAGGTACTTTCTGTGCAGTAGGGATATAACAGTGAACAAACAGAATCAAGAAAAATCTCTGCCCTTGTGGAGCTTACATTTCAGTGGGGGAGACAGCCAGTAAAATAGATAAAACATATAGTATGTCAAAGGGTCATAAGTGCTAAGGGGAAAAATGAAGCAGAGAAAGGGCATGGGGAGAATGGCCAGGATGGAGTTGTAGTTTAGAAGAAGTGACTGGTGAGGACCTGAGGAGGTGGTAGTGAGGAAAGCCCTGAAGGAGGTGATGAGCCACATGGATCCCTGAAGGCAGAGTGTTCTTGCAGGGGGCCAGGCAAGTGCAGTGGCATCAAGGTCTGTTTGAGGAGCAGCAGGGAGGCCAATTTGGCTGCGGTAGAAGAAAGAAAGCAAAATGGTTGGCCATGAAGTCAGAGAGGTCATGGAAAGCCAGATCCTGGAGAGCCTTGTAAGCCATTGTAAGCACTTTGGCTTTAACTTGAGTGATTTGGGGAGTTCTTGGAAAGGTTTGAGCAGAGGATTGATGAGACGTGACATAGGTTTAACAAGGCTCACCCTGGCTACTGTGATGAGGAGAGACTGGGTCAGGGTGGCCGGGGCAGAAGCAGGAAGCCAGCTGGGAGGATAATGCAATGATCCTGGTGAGATGTGAGGGTGGCTGAGATGAAGGAAGTAGCAGTGGAGGTAACGAGAAGTGGTTAGATTTAGGATATTGTTAGGGTACAGTCAACAGGATTCTCTGGCTGTTTGAATATGGGGTGAAAAAAAGGCAGTCAGGAATCTGAGTTTCTGTCCTGAGCACCTGGAAGGATGTAGTTGCCATTTACTGAGATGAGGAAGACTGTGGAGGATCAAGATTAAAAAAGGAAGAGTGAGAATTTGGTATTGAACACGATCAATTCAAGATGTCTAACGTCTACATGAAACATTGAGTTGGCACTTTGAATATGTAGGTTAGGAGTTAGGGAACATGTCTGAGCAGCACATGGAAATTTATAGAAAGGTGATATTTTAAGCCACACGAGGTTTCGTGCATCCAGAGAGCATGTGTAGATAAGGGGAGAGAGGACAGCACATGGGGCCCTTCATTGTTTCCAGGTCAGGGAGATCAAGGGGAACCAATGGGTCTTGGAAAAGCATTCAAGGAGAAAGTGTTTTGAGAAGCAAGGAATGACTAATTGTGTAACGCGTTACTAGTATAGCAAGTGAGGTGAGGACGAAGACCTGACCATCGAGTTGAACAACATAAAGGTCATTCGCGACGCTTGTTGGGAATAGTTTTGGTGGAGTTTGAGGGGTAAGCCTTGCTGGCTTCAATGGAAGAGAGGTGATAAAGACAGTGAGTTCCATTTTACTCTTCAAGGAGTTTTGCTGTCATCACATTAAATGTTTAATATGATATAGTCATAATGGAAATAGAATTCACATTGTAAATTATGGCTCTTGGTAATTGTCTTAGTGATGCTCCAGTGAGTGAACTGTCTCTTGAGCTGCTTCTGCTTCAGGTTGTCTTGCCAGCATTACTTGAGCAGGGACACACGCGACAGTGGCTGAAGGGGCTTGTGCGAGCATGGACTGTTACTGCTGGATACTTGCTGTAAGTACAAGCAGGTGACTCGTAGGCATGTCATTTGTGTTGGTCTAATAACCTTTCTGAAAAAGGATGTTCCATGCTCCATGCAGAAAAAATTAGTTTTAATAAGAGACAATTTAGTGATATCTGCAGTTGTATATAATAATAATTTCTAAAATTTTTAATTTTTCTTATTTTTCTAATCATTGTTCATCCTTTTATGGAGAATGTATGCATATTTTTACCCTCTTATAGAGGTTTGCTGCTGCCCCAGGATCTTTCATTTCATTACACAGAATAAAAATAAAATTCTTTTAGTGCATTATAAACAAACCAACTTACCCTTATTTTAGAAGTCCTAACCTGGTAAATGAGCTTTTTTCAGATTTGGTTTCTCAGTCGTTTAGTTAGCGTGTTGCATTTATTTTTTTCAAACTTTGTATATTATATACCTATTTAAAAGTTGAATCTTTGTGATTTAAGTGTTTATTCAGAAAATATGTGGCATCCTATAGATACCTTAATGTGAAATATGCGTTTGGTTGTATTTGATTGAAAGCTTTATCCTTCTCTGACTGCCCCATGCCCCAGTCTGAGCCGCTTCCTCGCCCTGTCTCATTTTTGCCTAAACTGATTTGGAGGTTTTAGTTGAGCTGCATGTTGCAGCAGATACAATAGCCATCTGTAGAGAAGACAAGAAGCTGTATTTTTTCCTTAAGATCTTCCCATAGAGAATCTTGTACATTGTAATGTTTTTTTCAGTTAGTGATTTCTTCTCAGATACTGGCTGAAGAAAACATAAAACAGATTGAATTTATGGGGTATTCTGTACGTTAATTAACATTAAATTTGGAAAGTTTTAATTTAAAGCAGGCACCAGGCTTTAGACCAGATTGAGGTAATAGTGCTATGTATAGATTCTACTTATATGTTTTCTACCCTAAGTAATAATTATTAAGAAAGTCAGTCTCATGTCTGCCATTTTATTCTGAAGTGAGAATTTTCACTGATGTAATTTTTACACAGGGATCTTCATTCCTATTTATTGGGAGACCAGGAAGAAAACGAGAACAGTGCAAACCAACAAGTCAACAATAACCAGCATGCTCGAAATAACAACGCTATCCCTGTGGTGGGGGAAGGCCTGCATGCAGCTCACCAAGCCATACTCCAGCAGGGAGGGCCTGTTGGCTTCCAGCCTTACCGCCGGCCTTTAAATTTTCCACTCAGGGTAGGTATTATACCAACTTAACCAGAAGTCAAGTGTTTTCAAATTTCTATTGAGAAATTTTGGTGTTATTGGTGCTATTAGGATGTAGTCCTCTGGGTAGACATGTCTTACAGTCCCCTGACAAGAACCTGAGTTTTTTAGTCCTCTCATTATACAGAATAATATATGTAAATGTCAGATAAGTTTATCAAATTTTAGAAATGGGTCATAGTGTTGGGATTCCATGTGCTGTTATTGCTCCCTGCTGTTTGAAAGGAACAGTATAAAAGACCCTAGAGCAAATAAGAAATTAACATTATTGATACATTTCAACTGTGTGTCAGGAAGTGGAATGGGTATTTTAATGTTTTTCTCGCATTTAATCCTCATCCCAGTACTGCAAGGTATGAGTAGTAATCTCATGTTTGCATCTGATGAAACTGAAGACCACATTGGTTAAGGAAGTGCCCATCCCAGTGAGAGACTTTTCCCCCCAAACTGCACCATAACTGTTCCTGACAGGGGTTGCCAGTGACCTTCGTGGTGTTAAATCTGCTGGTCAGGTCTTGCTCCTCATTTTCCTTGCTGTATTAGTAGCTTGCTACATGGTTGGTTACTTCTTGCTCTGCAAAACACTTTATTGAAAGGCATTCAGGAATATTCATGGGAGAGGTGATGCCTTTAAGTCTTTAAAGTTAAGGAGCCAGGCAGAGAAAAAAATGGCAAGTGGGAAGGGCATTCTAGTCATTTGCCAGGACAGGAGGCAGGTTAGACATGGTAGGTTTGTGGCCACAGGGAGTTAAGTGTATCTGGGGGGTGAGGTGTATGCAGGAGAGCTGCGAGGGATTGGGGGAGCTGTGAGAGGTGAGACTCTTGGATCAGGAAAAGGTACTTTCTGGCCCAGATTAGATAGAGAATCACTAAGGGGGTGTCTCAAGCAGTGAGAGCTGAGAAAGCCTCGGAGGGTTACCGTCTGTCCTTTTCAGTCTTCCCGCCAGAGCTCTGCTGTCTGGGCGTGGGAAGACCTGTGCCTGGTAAGATTAGAAGGCCAGCAGCAGTTGCACCTTTCTGCCCAGGGTAGCCGCTTCCCTCCTCTCAGTGTGTTCCCTTTTTTTTTTAATTGATGTTTCAATAGTTTTTAACATTGTGAAATTTGGGGTTGTACATTTTTGTTTGTCCACCACCATATATATGTCTCCCTTCTCTGTCCATATTCCACATATGAGTGAGATCATACAGTGTTTGTCTTTCTCTTTCTGGCTTATTTCACTTAACATAATACCCTCCAGGCCCATCCATGTTGCTGCCAGTGGGACAGTTTTGTCTTTTTTTATGGCTGAGTAGTATTCCATTGTATATATATATACCACATTTTCTTGATCCAAGCGTCAGTCGAGGGACACTTAGGTTGCGTCCACTTCTTGGCTATAGTGAATAACGCTGCAATGAACATAGGGGTGCATAAGCCTCTGGCGGTGTGTTCCCTTTTTATCTGCACTTCTCACTACAGGAGCCACCAGCTACATGTGGCTGTTTATGTTTAAATTTAATTAAAAGTAAACACAATTTGTAAATATGTTGGGTGATGGATGTGTTAATTACCTTGATGGTGGGAATCCCTTCACAATGTGTACATATATCAAATCACATTGTACATTTTAAATATATTAACAATTTTATTAGTTATACCTCAATAAAAAAAGTATTTCTGAAAAAAGAAAAAAAAAGTACATTTCCTGTAGGCAACACACAAAGTAAATACAATTTTTTTTTTCTGCCCGGAAAGAGTCGCCCTGAGCTGACATCTGTTGCCAATCTTCCTCTCTCTCTTTTTTTCCCTCCCTAAAGCCCTAGTACATAGTTGTATATTCTAGTTGTAAGCACTTCTAGTTCTTCTATGTGAGCCACCACCACAGCGTGGCTACTGACAGACAAGTGGTGTGGTTCTGTGCCCAGGAACTGAACCTGGGCCTCCGAGGCGGAGAACCCCAAACTTTAACCAATAGGCCATCAGGGTTGGCTCAGTAAACACAATTTAAAATTCCATTAGTCATTCACACTGACCCCATGTCAAGTGCTCAGTGGTCACATGTGCCAGTGGCTCCTGTATTGGGCAGTGCAGCGTACCTATTTCCATCACCACAGAAAGTTGTAACTGGACAGCACTGTTAGAGAGTGTGCTTTCCTTTCATGAAAAGATGTTTTTGAGAATTTGATAAAAAAGCGAATAATTTAGTTTTAATTAATAGTGAGGGAAAATTTAAGCTGATTATGTTTGATTTTTGTGCTCTCTGATTAAAAAATATGTTTACTTGTTTCTTGCTGACGTGTTTGATTATATGAAAATGAACACTTATTTTCCTTTTGGCTGAAATTATAGGTAATTTTACCTAAAATAGAAATTTCCTTTTTATGTGAAATGGAAGGAAACCTGGAAATACAAATACAAGCAATTTTTTTTTACTGGGAGAATTGTGTTAATTCCTTGAAGGGTGTCATAAACTACATTGAGCACATGTGAACTGTTTATGCACTCTTATTTTTGCCTTACAGATATTTTTGTTGATTGTCTTCATGTGTATAACCTTACTGATTGCCAGCCTCATCTGCCTTACTCTACCAGGTAGGAGCTTACCCTTGCTATCTGCTAATGACATCATGAAAAGTCACTTTGTTTTAAAAGGGTATATCTTGCTGTGATCTGATCTTTCATCAAATATAAACTTGAAGTAGTTTTCCCCTCATTTTTGATTGAATATGGGATATTGATCTGGTTAGAGCTCTCTGCCTCATTGGACTCGTTTATATTGCAGCATAGGGGGACAAAGTCAAGATATAATTTATGGTTCATTTTTGCAAGTAAAGTACTTGTGGTCACTCAGTTTTCATCGACGTTGTACTGTTAGATTATGGCTCTTCAAAAAGTCATCTGTGTGGCTTATATCCTATTTTCAAGCCAGTCTTTTTTTGTTAATTATGTTTGTCCTCATTGTGTACCTAATTATCTTTCCAGTCTGCTGATTGCTATTGCTAGAGATCTTTATGAAGCCAGACCGTTTCCTTTTATTGTCTGGTATTCACAAATACTCGTCTTTAAATTTCAGCTAAGCAACGTTTAAATTTCAGCTAAGCAACGTTTCTTTGTCTAATAAGTAAGAAGCTGTGGATGAATATAGTAGTTCATCTTCTGCAGAGGTCAGGGGTAAATGGGGTGGAGTCTGAAGCCAGAGACAAAGTGGCAGGAACACCTTGGCTCCCCCCCCCCCCCCCCGCCCGTTAGTGTTTATAGTGAGCCAGAAAATTCTAAGTCATAACTGGTATGTGTTAGCCACTTAAATAATCAAGTGGAAGATAATTTTCAGCTCTTAGCAGGCATATACATGTATATTGAGTTAGTGTCTTGATTACACTAACTCAATATAATTTTATAAATCAAATTTGTATTAAATACTTGAGTTTTCCCCATGAGAGCTAAGGCCAGGAAGGAGCAACTAGGAAATTTAATTTCAAATGAAGTTTCTTAAAAATATATATATATTTGCTAGTCCATAGGAATTGTGATTTACCTTAAACTGGTAAAAAGAAAGATTTTGGCTTTTTACCACATAGTGATTTTTGACCTTTAAAACTTGGCTCTTAAGCTCGCTGCTCCTCATAACATACCTGTTAAAATGACAAAGTCTAATTAACCATTGGGTACAATGTAGTAAACATATTGCTGAGAATTTTGAACTTTGGACAGTTTTACATTTGTGATTTTTGTGTTCCACATTCATGTTTTTATCACAGATATTAAGAAAAAGTTAACAAAAGAAGGAAACTTAGTTTTAATACTTGACTTTGGCAGTAAAGGTACTTTAATTTTTTTGAAGATTAACTAAATATTTCCCTATTAATCCAGTCCCACCATCTAGTGGAAAGAATGTAGTTATGTTTAGTCATAGAAACGGTTGGGGTCATGGTACATGTTTAAGGTGAGAGGATGCAGTTTCCCTCCTTAGTTTACTTTTCTGTAGCTATAATTTAACTGATGTTAAGTTACTGCAGACTAAAAACTGACCCTGTCCTCTCAAAAACACTTAAGTATGTGAAGTTTGAAATAAAAAGTGGCCATTAAATTTTTTTTGTGTGTGTGTGTGAAGAAGACCAGCCCTGAGCTAATATCCGATGCCAATCCTCCCCTTTTTGCCGAGGAAGATTGGCTCTGGGCTAACGTTGGTGCCCATCTTCCTCTACTTTATATGGGACGCTGCCACAGCATGGCTTGACGAGCAGTGTGTCGGTGGGCGCCTGGGATCTGAACCTGCGAACCCCGGGCCACCGAAGCTGAGTGCGCGCACTTAACCGCTACACCACTGGTCCGGCCCCACAGTGATGATTTTTATATCTTTAAATTAACATGCACATGCGTTTATTTCATGTAATGTTTACATGTTTTTGTCTTTAAAAATGAGTTATTTTCACACCCACACTATTTTGTGAAGTTACAAGGAAGTCTGTGGTTATCAACATTATGGCTTGTAAGGCTTGACTGTTGAGCTGGTTTAGTTTGATTGGAGACAGTATGATTCAGTGGTCAAGAGCGTGAACTTTGTCATGTATGTAGACATGAGCTCAAAGTCTGCCTCCACCTTTGTTACCTTGGTTGGGCAAGGTTCTGTTGTTGAGCTCTGTTTCTTAATCTTCAGAATGGCGGTAATAGCTTGTTGGGAGGATTAATGAGATAATGTATGGAAAATGCTCAGCACAGCCACTAACTCCTTTTAGATATTCAAAAATAACAGATAGTACTGTATTCAGGAGAAATCAATCCATAGAAAAATACACTGGAAATTTGGGTCTTGCTGTTCTAGGTAGCCTTATTAAGAAGTAACCATAGGAAGAAAGTTGCTATACAAATGATCTTGCCTCAGAGTTAGATTTTTGTGAGTATAAGGAGTATTGTAATTGTCTCAGTGTGAGGCAATCCCTTAGCGCTCAAATCTGTTTCCTAAGCTTCAGTATATTTAGATCTTATTTTTTTCCTAAGAAAATTAGTTAATATTCTTTGGTTATTGTGTTTTAAAATGTTATTGTGCCTGTTTTCTTACTAAAGTAAGGTTAGTTTCCTGTCTTGATGAACAAGCCAATTGAAGCAAGTTACTCTAAATTATTTGTAACGTTCCTAAATATTGAAAGTATTGACAGCACAAATAGTAGAAAATAAGTTCTCCGCTTTTGTCCTATTATGTGCATAATGATTTCATTTGGTGGTAAAAACAATGAAAACACAACCCCCTCAAGCTTTTTCAGTCCTGAAAGAACAAGTAATTGGCATGGCAAGTCAGAGTGCATGTCACAGGAGAGGTCGTCCCCAGTGACTCACTGTGTTTTGGTTGTGTCTTAGTCAAATAATTGCATTCTTTAGAGTTTGTGGGGTTTTTGTTTTTGGTTTTTTCTTTTGGTTTGGTTTTTTGTTTTTGATGAAAACACTGATAATCAAAACGTGACATCTTTTTACTAATCACTTACAATGATTGAAAATACTGATAGAACAAAATGAGTGTCAGGAGTACAGTTCTCTTTACATAGTCACATGTCTCATTTATCAGACTTTCTCTTTTCAGTATTTGCTGGCCGTTGGTTAATGTCATTTTGGACGGGGACTGCCAAAATCCATGAGCTCTACACAGCTGCCTGTGGTCTGTATGTTTGCTGGCTAACCATAAGGGCGGTGACGGTGCTGGTGGCGTGGATGCCGCAGGGACGCAGAGTGATCTTCCAGAAGGTTAAAGAGTGGTCCCTCATGGTAGGTTTTTCTACCCATAAAGACTGATCTTCACAGAATATTTCTCCGGTCGTTTCTTTAAATCTTTTCACTTTTGTTTCTTCATTATGCTGATAGTGTCAAGCGAGTTGATGTTTTGAATTACAAGGAATATTCCTTTAAGACAGTAGCTTTCTGGTTCATTCTGAGAACCACAGTTGTGGGTGTATTTAGGGTTAAAAGAAAATCATGCTATTAAGTGATCCAGTAAGACCCTTGAGTAAGAAATGTAATTAGAAAACTTATTTTGGAGCTTGAGTACGTTTTTAAGGAATAAGATATTCTGTAGAATTTAAAATCAGTTTGTTTAAGTAGAAATTTCTTTTAATGATATTCTTTCTAAAATTTGATTTTTTGATCTATTTGAATGTGTAAAATCTTGACTTCAGGATCAAGTCAGTGTTTTTCGTCTAAGTGGGATTCTTTTAATTACACAGTCTATTGCTACTTCAAGAATGTCTTTGCTAATATGAAAGTGTAGTAAGTAATGGAAATTATTACTCTAAATAAAGAACTTAGTTGCCACAAAGGTGGAGGAAAAAATGTCACAGTAAGATGATTGGCTAAGTTTGGCGGTTTGTTGATTGTAGTGTTGGCTTTGACTGGTAAATATCTTTAGGTCACTGCTTATGCCTTTTCATTTGTATAATCAGGTCTAGTTTTGTATCTGAATTTATATTTCAGTTTCACTGAAAGTTTAATATCCAGTGTTGAAAGAAAAACATGAGATTCATTGTATATTATGAATGGAGGAGTTTAATTGCCAATTAATGCATAAGATAATGAGACACTTAACTATGTTTAAAATACAGAAACCAGCTAATACCAGTTTTCATTTGATATTCTCCCATATCATGAAATTGCCATGTAAAGAAGCAAGTACGGCATCTTCAGGTGTACCATATTAGTCTCTTGTTGAAACAGACGTACTCACTGAGGCTACCTTAAGGAAAGGGAGGGTTATCAGACCTCAAGGCCGCTTTGAAGACTGATTTCTGTGTCAGGATTTTGTAGTGGCTCTTTCATAGTATCTCTTCTTTTTTTTGTGTCTACTTTATTTTCATTTTGTCACTTGGTTGAAATTCTAGAGCTGTGCTAATACAGCAGTCATGTGGCTAATGGCTACCATATTGGACAACAAAGATATGGGACATTTCTATCATCATAGTAAGTTGTGTTGGACTTCACTGTTCTAGAGAGAGCCAATTTGATCAGCTTGATTAATTACCTTAACTAGGGTTATGCAGAGCCCTTCTTCTATACCAGTGCACCTCAGGGGTGGGTGGGCCACCATTGGATCAGGGGCTTGGGACAACCAGTAGCTTTTCTTGGACAAACAAAAGCCTACTCCTGAGAATGAGATTGAAAAAAACAGCAAAACCACCTGGTTAATATATGTAATAAAATTCATTTTCTATAATTTTGTAACAACAATGGATACTAATTTCATGTTTTCATTATAGCATGAGCTTTTATAGTTATGCATTCAAATCTCATTTAAACATGTAACATAAAATGTGTGTAAGTTGTTTAAGGTAATATATTCATTCTGTTAGGTGTCAGGTTAAAGAAGAAGAATAAACTTCCAAATGGAATAAGTAGTTTGGTTAAAGTCAGAAAGACTCTCTTGTATGACCTGCCTCTCATGTCTTAATAGATAATGAAGACTTTGATAGTTGCAGTGCTGCTGGCTGGTGTCGTCCCTCTCCTGCTGGGGCTCCTGTTTGAGCTGGTTATTGTTGCTCCCTTGAGGGTTCCCTTGGATCAGACTCCTCTTTTTTACCCATGGCAGGTAAATACGTGTCTTTGACTCATGTTATTTCTTTATTGATTTGCAATCAGAAAAATCCTTTTTGTTTTTATGAGAAAGATTGGCCCTGAGCTGCCATCTGTTGCCAGTCTTCCTCTTTTTACTTGAGGAACATTGTCGCTGAGCTAACATCTGTGCCAGTCTTCCTCTATTTTGTATGTGGGATGCTGCCACAGCGTGGCTCAAGGAGTGGTGTGTAGGTCTGTGCCTGGGATCTAAACCTGTGAACCCTGGGCTGCTGAAGCGGAGCACGCAAACTTAACCACTATGCCACCAGGCTGGGCCCAGAAAAATCCTTAATTTTTTAAAATGATTTTGAACAGTTTGTTTAGAAGAACTTAATTTTTTATTTTCTAGGAACCCTTGTAAAATTGATTAAATAATGCATTTTAATCTATTGTTTCAAAGTATGCAGGTCATATAACTCCTTTACAAGACCTTACTTTATACGTTAAAATGTCACTGTTCATTAGGCTTCACCAATATTTAAAGATACAAACTAATATGTGTTTTCACCTTTTAGTTAGGTTTAGATATCCTGCTCTTTTTGGCTTTGAGGCTATAAGCAGTAATTTATACTTTTGAATAATTACAGCATGTTTTCCACCAAGTCATAGGCTTATTAAAAAGAGCGTTCTGAGGAAACCTGTGTAGGTCACAACAAAGATCTTAAAGCGCACAGAAAAAGAAATTTAACTTTTCTATAGTACGCAGAGCCTGAAGTTAACATCATAGACCTCGAGCTCTTAAGAGATATTAGGGGAAAGAGCTAGGTATCGACTTCAGTCGTTCAAAGGTTTTCCAGCCTTGTTTTTACCTTCTCTAAGTATATTACAATGAATTTTCTGGAAATGAAAAGTATTTGGGATGTATTTCACTTCCTCTACTTTCCAGATGAAGAACCTCCACAAACTTCATTTAACAGCAAATATTTACTTGAGTGCTTTTATGTGTGCCAAAACGGTGTACTGTATAACTCAGAGGGAAGTGAGGCTAATGCAGGAACTTCTTGAGGACCTTACAGGCTGGTGGGTAGGACAGACAGGCACACAGGTATGCGCTGTGATTGGAGCGAGCACAGGGAGCTGTGGCACTGTGTAGGAGAGGTGTCTAATCTAGCTTTGGGAGTTGCAGATGTGGTTTTCTGTAGGAGAGAATGTCAAGGATAACCTACCTGGTAGAGTACAGGGGAGTGGGGAGGGAAGAAGTGTATTCCAGGAAATGAGACAGAGCATGCACATGCAGGGAACTGCCTCTAATCCGGTGTGCTCATAGATTAGAATCAGAGAGAAAAATGAGTAATAAAGGGAAATAGTTAAACACATATGGTGCCTTTCTGTAAGAACTGTATTACAGCTACACAAATAGCATCAGTGATTGAAGGAAAGCCGTTTTTTTACAGGATAATGTCAGCTAATAAAAGTAGAGGAAATTACAGACTTAGAAAATCACAATATTGCAGTAGTTAACAAAATAGTTGATTCCAGCAAGGATAGTCAGTGGATGCTGAGCCCCTCAGGTGAACATTTATGGGTCTTCAGTTACTGTTGCTGTGCAGCGTTACCTCACAACTTAGTGGCTTAGAACAACCATTTATTTTGTACACAGTCTGTGGGTCAGAAATTAAGACTGGGTATATTAGTTTATCTCTGCTCCCTGTTATCTGAGGCCTCAACTGGGAAGACTCAATGGCTGAGTGTGATTTGACAGCTGTGGCTGGAGTCATTTGGAGACGTCACCACTCACGTGTGAGGGTTGATGCTAGTTTTGGTTGCACCCCATCTGGGCAGTTGGCTGGAGTGCCTGGATGTACCTGGGGTTCCTTACAGGTTGGTAGCCTCAAGGCATTGGGCTTCTTACACAGCACTTCAAGGAAATGTGTGTTCCAACAAATAAGGCAGAAGTGGCATCACCTTTTATGACCTCGTCTCAGAAGTCCTACAGCATCGCTTTTCACTACATTCTACTGGGTACAAGGAAGTTGCAAAGGTTGGCCCAGATTCAAGGGAAGGGGGACGTGGACCCTTACCACTCCATGGGGGAGGAATTAGCGGGCATGTTTTGACACCACTACAATGCGGAAGTGGTAATTTGCATGGTGGCAAAGTGTCACCTTAAACATTACTTGATATCTCAAAGGGGAACACACAACTTGACAGTGGAGAGGTCAGGCAGACACTGCCTTAACCCACTGATCACTGCAAATGCAGCAGACAGATAGTATGTGAGTCTGCAGCACTGAAAAAGAGCAGAGCAGCCCAGACACCCAGGAGCTGGCCTGGTACTATCAGCTGGGCCTTGGTGTTCTCCTGTTGGGCAGAAACAATTTCACAGAACATCAGCATCACACAGGGCCACTCTGTGACCTTGATGGATCAAGACGAAAACAAGACCCCTCTGTAGTCATGTCTGAACACAGGCAAAACAAGAGCATTGTCCGAACCACAAACGTAGCCCCTTATCCTGGGTGACATGATTGGTTGCTGCTTTGTTACCAACTACAGTTTTAGCCTCAGTCTGTCCCTTCTTCTGGGTAAGGTTTGTTAAGATACCCAATTGTAGGTTACCTCTGCTTTCTAATAGCATCTGACACAGAGCAGGGCCCTGCTTCCTTAAATCCTCCCCAGATCACCTCGCACAAGTCGAAATGGTGTAAGAAGCCTTTCCTAACACTTTCTGACTAAGTGCTCCAAGTTCCCCATACAGTGTGTTCTCCCTCACTGCAGTAATAGTAAATGCAACTTGTTCAGTTACATGAGTGTTCTTGGTGGTCTTGACAGTACCTAATGTTGTCACCTCAGAGGATTACTTGCAACTATCCAATTTTAAGAATGCTTATATGTTTTGACCCAGTAGTTTCGCTTTTCAGAATCTGTTGCAAAGAAACATTGATGTGTGTGCAGAAGGTGGCACAAACAGGGCTGCTCCTGCTATTATATCATTTTTTATAATGTCAAAAAAAATTAGAAGCAACCCAGATGTCCATCAGTAGAGAATGATTAAATAAAATGTAGTATATCTTTGCTTTGGAATTCAGTGCAGCAGTTTAAAAGAGCGAAGTAGAGCTGTATGTTTTACTGTAGATAGCGCTAAGATGCTTTTTGAGTAGAGGAAAACGCAAGCTGTAGACACACATGTACAGCATGATATCCTTAATATTCTGGATAAAACCCCGAAGTTTGAAAGGACAGCTTGCTTTTCACCATTCCTGACTCTAAGCCCCTTACCTTTCCTGCGTCGAGCAGCTGCAGATCTGTGGGAGACGGGGCTCTTTTGGAATTCTAGCAGAGGAGCTAGTGTGGTGTGTCCTGTCCTGTGGAAAAGGACTGGAACACAGTGGATCTTGAAAGAGCTTGAACCATGGCAATCTGTGGACCTCCTCAGGTGAACATTAACCACTCTTGGGTGACTTCTGGACTCGAGGAAGCTGAATTGGTAGGTTGACTCTTGCCTGCCTTCCCCTGGGAGGGTGCAGAAAAAGCAGGAAGGCTTTCTGCACGTCTCATTAGGGGTCTGTTGGCTTGCTGTCCCAAAGGTCTAAAGGGCTAAAAGATCCTCTTGCAGCCCTTTAGAATATTCTTAGTCTGACCTGAGGCTCATTGAGCCTGCAGAGAGAAATAATGAATGCTTTATCTAAGTGGGGCCCAGCAGCCACAGAAAGAAAGGTCAGGCAGAGCAATCAGAACACCTACTCAGTGACAGGGAACTGCTTATGGAGCCATGAGCATCCAAATAAAAGAATAAAAACACAGGAGGTTGAGGGCAGTATGTGTGTATGCACACACAACAGCAATAAAACAAAGTGAAATTGTTGTGGCGCTATATAGTATGGATTTCAAACAAATTGAGTAGATGAATTAAAGATGTGGATAGTCACCACTGAGGCTCAGATTGGAGGCCTGGAACACCTATGCGAGGCAGAGAGCAAAACTGAAGAAAAGGGGAGCTGACCCGGTGGTGCAGCGGTCAAGTGCGAGTGTTCCGCCTTGGTGGTTCGGGGTTCACAGGTTCGGATCCTGGGCACGCACCGACGCACCACTTGTCAAGCCGTGCTGTGGCGGCATCCCATATAAACTAGAGGAAGATGGGCATGGATGTTAGCCCAGGGCCAATCTTCCTCAGCAAAAAAGAGGAGGATTGGCATAGGATGTTAGCTCAGGGCTGATCTTCCTCACAAAAAAAAAAAAAACACTGAAGAAAAGGAAATGGTGGGGAAAAGATAAAGGTATTGGAAGATACATCCAGGAGTCTTAACATACCCACGATATGGGTTCCAGAATGCGAAAATGAAGCAGCATTGAAACAAAAATAGAAGAAAAATTTAACTGAGTTGAAGAAAAACCTAATTCTCTAGGTTGAAGAAAAATTTAACTGAGTTGAAGAAAAACCTAATTCTCTAGGTTGAAAGGGCTCATCATCTGGGCCGGCCCTGTGGCTTGGTGGTTAAGTGCGCGCGCTGCGATGCTGGTGGCCTGGGTTCGGATCCCGGGTGCGCATTGAGGCACCACTTCTCCGTTCATCCTGAGGCCGAGTCCCGCATACAGCAACTAGAAGGATGTGCAGCTACGACATACAACTATCCACTGGGGCTTTGGGGGGAAAAAAATAAAATAAATAAAATCTTTAAAAAAAAAAAAAAAAAAAAAAAAAAGAGGGCTCATCAAATCTGGTGAAATGGAGGTTGATGAGATGAAGTTGATGAGAAGAACACATATTTCAGTGTATCTTCATAAAATTGCTGAATTCTAAGGGTAGAGAGAAATCATAAGCTTCAAAAAAAAAATCATACCGGCAATGAACTTTTATCTGTAGCACTGTAGAAATAAAAGGGACAAAAACCAAGCTTCCTGTACCCAGGCAAAATGTCATTCAGCCATCCGTCAGGACGAAGAACAATATTTGAGGATATGCGTGAATTCAGTGCATGTATCAACCTCTCACCCCATTTGAAGAAGATGCTTAGAAAACTAACCAACCAAACCACTAAATCGGAACATTAGCTCCAAGATGATGGACAGTGAAGAGGAGGAAGAACAGTATGAGCAAAATCCATATGAAAATGATCCTATATATTTTCTATGGGGCACATATGTATAGATATAGATAAATGCATAGGGAAAAAATGTGGAGAGTACATACCAAATGTTAGCCATGGTTATTGCTGGGCAGGGATCAGGATTTGGGCTGGTGGTCATGGAGAGCTCCAGCCTTCTCTGGAGCTTTCAGTTTTATATAAGAATAGATCTAAATGTTATGTGTTACTTTTTATTTTTTTTTTTTTTACTTTTTTTCCCCCAAAGCCCCAGTAGAGAGTTGTATGTCATAGTTGCACATCCTTGCAGCTGCTATATGTGGGGCGTGGCCTCAGCATGGCTGGAGAAGCGGTACGTCAGTGCAGGCCCGGGATCCAAACCTGGGCTGCCAGTAGTGGAGCGTGCGCACTTAACCACTAAGCCATGGGGCCGGCCCCTCCGTGTTACTTTTTTTAATACATCTATTTTTTTAAAAAGATATGCAGAGACTAGGTTATGAAGGCCTTTTGTGTGCCATGCTAAGGACTTGAGGGTTGTAAGCAGGGAAGTCTTACATAATCTGATTTGACTTGAAGAGATCATTTGGTGGGCGTTGGGGGTAGTGATCACTCCACTCTCCGTGGTGGAGAGTGGGGGTGGGCAGGCCAGAGGCACAGTGAGGAGCCTGCTGTGGCGCAGCAGAGGTTCTAATAACTGTTCAGCAAAACTGTGAATGCTCCAATCAAGAAGCTCTCTGTGAACCTTTGGGATGGTTTCTTCAGGCCAAACATGGCTCCAAAGTCTTAATTTGACATAATTAGCTCAGCCAAAACCAGTAAAACATCCTGAGGATAGTTTGATGGAATAAAATCATGACATTGTTTTTTTTGTTGGCTTGTTGAGATCTTCATTAATGTCCACACTTTCCTAATTCTTTTGGGAAAATAATGTAGATTTCTGAAAGATACTGAGCTTTGATAGAAACATTAAACTTGAGCTGTTGGGGGAAAAAATTCCTTGGATTTTCCAGCATATATTAGTCTTCTGTAAAACTGTTACTAATCCTGCAGAACTTCTGTTTTGAAACGAAATAATGCAAGAATATTGTATAGCCTCTATGCTGAGTTTATTGCTAAAAACAAACAAAAATCTGTTAAATGGTTTTTATTACCCTAGGACTGGGCACTTGGAGTCCTGCATGCCAAAATCATTGCAGCAATAACACTGATGGGTCCTCAGTGGTGGTTGAAAACTGTAATTGAGCAGGTAAGCAAAATTGGTTTTCAGAAAAAGACTGGGAGTGATAGTGATTATGTTTGGCTGATGGGATTCTTATGTTTCATTTTTCCAGTTTTCTACATTTTCTCTAATGAGCATATATAACTATCTTTTTTAAAAAGGAGAAGGCAGTTTGCTGTTTTGTCACCATGAATTTTCATCAGCTACTCTTAAGACTTTCCTTATCTGAAGGTTAACCAGTAGCTTAAAGTACCTAGAATCCTGTCCAAAGTAAAGGCAAAAATTAGCCGGTGTTTTTTTTTTTTTTCAGGGCAGGAGTTCTGATGAAGGCTTGGTATTTAGGTTTCTAAACCTGTAGTAGAGAAAAGAGGTTATTGTTTGAGGCAATAAATAAAGGAAAAGGCAGAAAAAATAATAGATTTAAAAAGCAGAGGTTTTTGGGAATATTCTAGCTATGTAGTACGTAAGACTTCCTGCATTATGGAACCATCAGATAATTTGGTCATTGTGGTGATAACCTTGAAAAAGATAGATTGTGCTTCTATACTTTGATAATAAGGCTGGGAAGTATGGTAATTCATTTTAGAAAGATTTCTAATCCAAAATAACCAGCATAACAGATTTTGGTACTTACTTCTTTAAGTTTTAGTTAATCTAGAAAATGTACTTGTGGACAACCCTCTTATCTTTAGGTCAGTGCCAAATAAATGAGGTGTTACAGTTCTGTAGCAGTAAAGGAATACTTCCTTTTGATGTATAGGAAATAACGACGGTAGTTTTCCACCCAGTATACACAAGAAAATCACCAACAAAATTCCTGTACCTGGAGATTTGTAGGGGTGGGGAGAGCCAGGGAATTGCCATATATTTGCACACCTCTCGCAAGTGTGGGCTGATCTGAAGTGTGCCGGATATGGGGTGCATGGCAGCACATCCGTTCATGATAGGAGTGCTTGCCAGTCCACTCTGGAGTCTCCAGGGGAGACTCTGGCCCTTGCAAAGGAACGTGGAGAATAAAGGTTTAGTCACAGCTGGAGGCTGTTGATCTTTATATTTTGTTCTCTGATGCATTCTTTTCTCAAACGGTGTGTAAGTTTAAAACGATTGAGAAACACTGGGATGCCTTGCTGTATTAATTTAAATGCTGTTGGTTTAATAGGTTTCTTTGGGATAGGAAGTGTGCCTTTGGAGGGTTCTGCCTCTTTGTCATTCACATCTGAATGCTCCAGCCTACTTCTGAGGGATCCCACTTCTGAGGGAGGGGTGGAGTTGCCCCATGCCATGTGATTGTGGGCCACGGGAGGTTGAAGTGCAGAGGAAAAAACAAGAGCAGTGCTCTTCTGTTTTTCCCTCTTTTCATGCCGTCTTTATTTCCCGTTATTCCCAAGGTTTTCCCACTTCCATTCTTTCCTCTGCAGTACTATCCAATAGAACTTCCTGAAAATATTCTAGAAATTCTTGAACTTAAAAAAAATATTCACTGTAGAGTTCTTTCACTCTAAATTTTTACATAAAATACCTTTTGATTCATTAAAATTTGGTTTATACAAGCTTTTCAGAAACATGTTTCCTGTTTATAATGTTTTCTTATATTCAGATAAAATGAATGCAATCTTGGGTAATAACACAGATCCCTCTTACACAAGATATGTATGAAGTTCCTTCAAGTTATGTGATCTTCAGCTAATATTATTGGATGCCATCTGGTATTGTACAGTGCAAGCCTAGTGTAATTATGATTCTAGACTAGTGTCTTATTATTTCATTCTTAGCACAGTTAAATGCAACGTGTAAGGAAGTAAATGCATTTCTTTAAAACTTATGGGCACCATACTTATGTTTGTGTTCCAGAATTTGCCTTGAGTTGGGAAAAAAATAACTAATTTGAATCCTTTTGGCCTGGTAGATTCAGCTCCTTGTGGCTTAGATTCAGTAGAGATGGCTCTGTTAACCTGGAGGAATTTGTCTTATATCCTTGTTCTAATCTTTTTCCCCGTGTTTCTCAGGTTTATGCAAATGGCATTCGGAACATTGACCTTCACTATATCATTCGTAAACTGGCAGCACCAGTGATCTCCGTGCTCTTACTTTCCCTGTGTGTACCGTACGTCATAGCATCTGGTGTCGTTCCTTTACTAGGTGGGTAATGCTGGCTGGGGAGCTTGAGAGAGCACCTTTATTAACATCGTTACATTCTTGTCACTGCTAGTGTCATAGTCTGGCTGGCTCCTAATGCTTTATTTGTAAATATAAATCCAGCTAAAAGAATGATATCAAAAGACTGTTTTTCTTAGATTTGACAACTCAGGGCAAGATTAGGAGGATCATAAAGCTCTGGTACAATTTTTTTCTCTAGGCAGTGAGAAAGTATTGACATTTACACTCTCCTCAAAATAGGCAGGAACAGATTTTCCTTCATGTTGTCTTCTCCTGACTGGAAGTGCTGTGATCACATACTTATAAGATTAAGGAAAAGTGTGGTTTTATTTACTTAAAAACATGTTCTTTCACATAAAACCAAAGAGGAGAAGCTAATTTGTGACACTTCAGCAACTAGACGTTGTCTTATCAATTATGTACTGAAGAATCCTCACAGGACCTTAAACCCAGCATATGTTCAAAATTATAATGCACAGATTTTCCCCCTCCAGATCTTTTTTTCTCCTGAATTTCCTCTTAGTGACTAGCATTATCATCAGCAAGTTACATAAGTCAGAAACCTTGAAGGTCATCCATGTTACCTGAGCCTCTCTGCTCTCTCGTACTCAAAATGGTCTCCAGGTCCCACTAATCTGATCTCCAGAACCCAGTCTCTCGTCTCTGGCGCCTTTGCCCATGGCTCTCCTTGAGGCATACATCAGCTCTCACCTTAATGTCAGCAGCCTCCTATCTGGTTTCCCTGCTTTGAAGGCGCCATTCATTCTCTACACTGCGGCCACGATGACCTTTCAAAAGAATGATTCTCATTGTTCCTCTTTGGTGAACATCCTGTCATTGGTTCTTGTGTGGCCTTTAAAACACAGTCCATCTCCTTGGCATAGTTGACAAGGCTTCTCCTCTGGCTGTGACTGGCTCCAGTTTGACTTCACTCCTTGCCTCACTCCGTTTTGTACACAGTGAGTTTCAGTTAAGCAACCACCAGTCCCCTCTTCTTAGGGAAAGAACATATTTTCATTCACTGTCATTCTGATACACTTAGAATTTTCTTTTTTTTTTGTGGTTTTACAGGTGTAACTGCAGAAATGCAAAACTTGGTCCACCGGCGGATTTATCCATTTTTACTGATGGTCGTGGTATTGATGGGAATCTTGTCCTTCCAGGTCCGCCAGTTTAAGCGCCTTTATGAACATATTAAAAATGACAAGTAAGTCTAGACTTCCATTGATCTAGCCACTCTTGTTAAGGTGTCTCATTTCTTAATTTTTGTGTCTAATGTGATAAATCATAAGAGGAAAAAGTTCTCAGATTCTGTATATATTTTGAGGTAGAATTAACAAGATTTGTTAACAGATTGGATGTAGGATGTGAAAGGGAGCATTATCCAGGACTCAGTTGGGCTGAGCAACTGGAAATATGGAGTTGTCATTTATGGAGACAAAAAAGACTGAGAGAAACTGGTTTGGGCAAGAAGATTTTTTAATTTCAAATACAAATAGTTTTCAGTTTTTAGATAACAATAAGAAGCCTACATTAGGAATTGGCAATACCTGCCTAAGCCCTTGTTGCAACCAAAGGCCATTGGGTTACTCTGACCATTGCTGAGAAAGGCTGTAAAGTTACTGCAGAAGTGTTGGGGACCCTCTGTTTTGAGGAAACTCTACGACCTGACCTCAGTGAGAGATTGAGGACAGCCAAGGAAAACACTTTCCGGGGATAACAGCCGTTTGACCTTCTGTGTCCTAACGGAAGGCTGAATCTTTTGCTTTAATGGTGTCTAGCAGAGAAAGTGAGTTTATAACTATCTGTCCTTGTTTGCCCCCTTACACATGCTGGCTTGTCATTATTTTGACATCACCCCCTTTTACTCGTGAGTGCCTCGATTTGGACAACAAATTATGTGGTCATTTTATTTACCCTGATGACTCTTAAGAGTACAGGCATACCCCATTTTATTGCGCTTCGCTTTATTGCACCTCACAGATACCGCATTTTTTAAACAAATTGAATGTTTGTGGCAACCCTGTGTTGAGCAAGTCGATCAGCACCATTTTTCCAACAGCATTTGCTCACTTTGTGTCTGTGTCACATTTTGGTAACTCTCATAATATTTCAAACTTTTTCATTATTATTACATTTGTTATGGTGCTTGTGATCAGTGGTCTTTGATGTTACCAATGTAATTGCTTTCGGGCACCATGAACCACCCCCATATAAGACAGCAACCTTAATTGATAAATGTTGCATGTGTTTTGACTGCTCCACCGACTGGCCGTTCTCCTGTCTCTCTCCCTCTCCTCGGTATTAAAATTAGGCCAGTTAATAACCCTACAGTGGCCTCTAAATGTTCAAGTGAAAGGAAGAGTCGCATGTCTCTCCCTTTAATTCAAAAGCTGTAAATGATTAAGCTTGGTGAGGAAGGCATGTTGAAAGCTGAGACAGACCGAAAGCTAGGCCTCTTGTGTCAGTTAGCTAAGTGGTGAATGCAAAGGACAAGTTCTTGAAGGAAATTAAAACTGCTCCTCCAGTGAACACACGAATGATAAGAAAGCAAAACAGCCTTATTGCTGGTACGGAGAGTTATAGTGGTCTGGATAGAAGATCAAACCAGCCACAACATTCCCTTGAGCTGAAGCCTAATCCAGAGCAAGGCCCTAACTCTTCAATTCTATGAATGCTGAGAGAAGTGGTGAGGAAGCTTCAGAAGAAAAGTTTGAAGCTAGCAGAGGTTGGTTCATCAGGTTTAAGGAAAGAAGCAATCTCCATAACATAAAAGTGCAAGGTGAAGCAGCAAGTGCTGATGTAGAAGCTGCGGCAAGTTATCCAGAAGATCTAGTTAAGATCATTAATGAAGGTGGCTGCACTAAACAACAGATTTTCAATGTCGATGAAGCAGCCTTATTTTGGAAGAAGATGCCATCTAGGACTTTTATAGCTAGAGAGAAGTCAATGCCTGGCTTCAAAGCTTCAGAGGATGGGCCAGCTTGCTTGTTAGGGGCTAATACAGCTAATGACTGGAAGTCGAAGCCAGTGCTCCTTTACGATTCCAAAAATCCTAGGGCCCTTAAGAATTATGCTAAATCTGCTCTGCCTGTGCTCTATAAATGGAACAGCAAAGCCTGGATGATAACACATCTGTTTACAACATGGTTTACTGGATATTTTAAGTACATTGCTCAGGAAAAAAGATTCCTTTCAAAATATTATTGCTCATTGACAGTGTACCTGGTCACCCAAGAGCTCTGATGGAGATGAACAATGAGATTAATGTTGTTTTCATGCCTGCTAACACAACATCTATTCTGCAGCCTATGGATCAAGGAGTAATTTTGACTTTCAGGTCTTGTTATTTAAGAAATAATATTTCATAATGCTATAGCTGCCATAGATAGTGATTCCTCTGATGAATCTGGACAAAGTAAATTGAAACCTTCTGGAAAGGATTCACCATTCTAGATGCCATTAAGAACATTTGTGATTCGTGGGGAGAGGTCGAATATCAACATCAAGAGTTTGTAAGAAGTTGACTCCAGCCCTCATGGATGACTTTGAGGGGTTTACGACTTTAGTGGAGAAAGTAACTGCAGATGTGGTGGAAATGGCAAGAGAACTAGAATTAGAAGTGGAGCCTGGGGGCCGGCCCTGTGGCTTGGCGGTTGAGTGCGCAGGCTCCACTACTGGTGGCCCGGGTGCGGATCCTGGGCGCGCACCGATGCACCGCTTCTCCGGCCATGCTGAGGCCGCGTCCCACATACAGCAACTAAGAAGGATGTGCATCTATGACATACAACTATCTACTGGGGCTTTGGGGAAAAAAAGAGGAGCATTGGCAATAGATGTTAGCTCAGAGCTGGTCTTCCTCAGCAAAAAGAGGAGGATTAGCATGGATGTTAGCTCAGGGCTGATCTTCCTCACAAAAAAAAAAAAAAGAAGTGGAGCCTGAAGATGTGACTGAATTGCTGCAATCTCATGATAAAACTTTAATGGATGAGGAGTTGCTTCTTATGGATGAGCAAACAAAGTGGTTTCTTGAGGTGGAAACTACTCCTGGTGAAGATGCTGTGAAGATTGTTGAAATGATGACAGAGGATTTAGAATATTACTTAAAGTTAGCTGATAAAGCAGCGACAGGGTTTGAGAGGATTGACCCCAATTTTGAAAGAAGTTCTGCTGTGGGTAAAATGCTGTCAAACATCCCACGCTGCAGAGAAACCGTTCTGAAAGAAGGGTCAGTCAGTGCAGCAGACTTCATTATTGTCTGATTAAGAAATTGCCACAGGGCTGGCCCCGTGACTTAGCAGTTGAGTGTGCGCGCTCCGCTGCTGGCGGCCCGGGTTCAGATCCCGGGCGTGCACCAACACACTGCTTCTCCGGCCATGCTGAGGCCGCGTCCCACATACAGCAACTAGAAGGATGTGCAGCTAGCTATGACATACAACTATCTACTGGGGCTTTGAGGGGAAAATAAATAAAATCTTTACAAACAAAAAAGAAATTGCTACAGCCACCACCCTGATCAGTCAGCCGCCATCAACATTGAGGCGAGGCACCCTCCACCAGCAAAAAGATGACGATTTGCAGAAGGCTCAGATGATGGTTAGCGTTTTTTTTTCTTAGCAATAAAGTATTTTTAAATTAAGGTATGTACTTTTTTTTTAGACATAATGCTATTGCAGGCTTAATAGACTACTGTGTAGTGTAAACATAACTTTTGTATGCCTTGGGAAACCAAAAAAGTCGTGTGAATCACTTTATTGCCATATTCGCTTTGTTGTGGTGATCTGGCACCGAACCGGCAGTATGTCTGAGGTATGCCTGGAGAGAGAGAGAGAGAGAGAGAGAGAGAGAGAGTGTAAGATTAGCCCTGAGCTAACATCTGTTGCCAGTCCTCTTCAAGATTGGCCCTGGGCTAACATCCGTGCCCATCTTCCTCCCCTTTATATGGGACGCCGCCACAGCATGGCTTGATAATCGGTGCCTCAGCCCATGCATGGGATCTGAACCTGCGAACCCCGGGCCGCCCACCAACGCGGAGTTCGTGAACTTAGCCGCTATGCCGGCCCCCTGTAATATTTTTAAGAATGAAATTTAGAGTGTTCAGGGCTTCTTCAAAGAGTTTACTGATGGTAAAAAGCACGAGTACACTTAGGCAGAGTACAAAGTTCTGTCAACCATGGAAGGATGACGAGGGGGTTTCAGTGATGAGAGTCAGTGTTTCTCACTTGTTTTGGCAGAGGAGTGAACACTGCAGACAGAATGCAAACAAGATGTGCCCTGGGGAGCTTTCTGCTGTTTCTTCTTCACGCCTGTCACCTGCCCTTCCCCAGTGGTCCTTTCCCACCCACATCTCATCATTTTTTACTTGTTATTTTCTGCTCTTTTCTTGCAGCTCAGTGTACTCTATTAATCTCTCCCTTCTATTTCTTCATGCAGAAAACTGTTGAACTGCAGACTCCATGGAGGGCATGTCTTGCCTGCCGTAGTATATCCACTCTCTAGTAGTGTTGGATCTGTAGGGGGTGCTGAGTGTGTGTGTGCATGCACGTGGTGGACTGGGGGCATGAGAGGGCGGTAGCGTAATAGACAGAGTTGTGTATGGGTTCAGTCTCCTTATTCTGCCACTGAGTTACTTTTTGATCCTGGGCAAGTTAACATTGCTTGTCTCTGTGTTTTTTATTGCTTTTTGATTGTCATAATGCTAACCCCTTTCTTGGCATATCTTGATAGGGTTTGTGATTATGTGTGTGTCAGATAGTGCTATGTGTATTATGTCAGATATTACTCAGTTGCTATTTAAAACGTTTACAGAATACAGTTTTAAAAAAACGCTAGTTGGTTGGGGAACAGTGGGGTAAGGAGTGGTTAACTTCAGGAAAAGAATCAGTAAGACAGAAAAAAAGGATTGAACAGTGATATTATGGATGAAGAAGCAGTAAGATTAGTGAAATGTTTTAAAAAGTGAAATATTAAGCTACTTGACATAAACTGCCAAAATATCTCATTAGGCTTATGTGTGTTGCCAGAAAAGTGACAGATGAAAGTCAGGGTGGAGAAAGTTACCACACTGAGCCCTCCGCACATGCCAGGCCTTTGTTACCAAGACTTTTGCATGTTTTCTCTTTCTGACAACAATCATAAGACATAGGCCTGTTGTTCTCATTTTATTGATGAGTAAACTGAGTCTCAAAGACCCCAGCTCCCTGGCAGCCCTGTCACATGCTGGCTTTACTCTCCCACTCTTAGTCAGATGCGTAAGGTCTTACTAGGGGCTCCTTGATCTGCATTGCTCCCTCCAGATGGGTACCTAGCACATTTGTACCCACCTGCTCATTGCCATCAGCTTTGTCACGCACTGTCCCCCAGGGGTCAGCCTCCAGGCCAGTTCCGCACATTTAGTGAGGCACATCGCTGCTTCTCCTTTACAGCTTCTGCCCTTGTCACAGGGATGCAGTGTCCTGGTGGAGGACCTCCAGCCTTGTCATTCCGACCATAGTAACTTCTGTGTCTATTTCTACAGTCCTGCACCCTCTGCCATAACCTCCCTGTCATCACATCACATAAGTTGGGAACACTTAATGCCCTGTTCTTGGACTGTAACCGCCTACCTTCTGTTGTTCACATACGCTCACTTCTCTGCCATCTCCCCTTTGACCTCATTGAAGTCTTTTGTCCTTTGATTTCTCCTTTTCTCTAGAGCTAGAACTTTTCAGGTCCTACTTTCCTCCCTGCCCAGATTTCTGATTATCGTGTTTCCAGTCCGTTTCTTTGGATCTGTCACTAAGCTGTTTTATAAAATATGATCCATAGCAGATAAATCTCCTGAATAAGTTTACTCTCCCTTCCCCACCTCTGGCCTCCAAGTGTCTGAGTTTATGAGATCCCCTAACCCATGGACTGGAGCGTGTGCTCCATTGCACAGCTTCTGAGGCCTTCTGACCTTTGCTGCTCTCCTGTCTCCCTACAAACCATACCTCACAATGAGGTGCCTGCTTCTGTGCCTTTTGCAGGTGTTCATTATAGACTCCCCTTCTACCTACCTAACCATTGAAGGGTTTAAAGTGGGAGTGAAGTGATCTGATTTGTATTTTAAAAACTATCACTGGCTGTTCTTAGGAAGAATGTTTTACTATGTGAGATCATATAAGAGAGTAACCACCCTGCTTTTACAACCTAGATACCTTGTGGGCCAACGCCTCGTGAACTATGAACGGAAGTCTGGCAAACAAGGCACATCTCCACCACCTCCACAGTCGTCCCAAGAATAAAGAGGTTGTCTCAACTACCTTGACCTTCCCCTTGCCTTTACGTGTCCTTTTTTGTGGACTTCTCTTTTTGGAGATTTTTCCCAGTGATCTCTCAGCATTGTTTTTAAGTTAAATGTATTTGACTTGTGTTCTCAGCATTCAGAGAGCAGCACTGCAAGGCTCTGCTGCCCGTCCTCCATCTTCTGACATCATTGCTGTCCGAGATCTGTAATATGTGTAAATAGAAGTTCCTGGATACCCTCAACCTTGGATTAAACAGAATGTGCATTGTACATCTTTAAACAAAATGTATATTAATTTATTAAATCTAGTTGTCACTTTATTTTGGACCTGCTGTGATCTTGACAGGAAACGTACCACAGAGCCATAGTGCAGAGGCAAGACTTTTTAATGACATCTTTTGGAGCGCAACATCTTGGTGTTCCTAGCAGTGCTTATTAAGTAAACCATACATTCTGTCCGTCTTGGCTACTCAGACCTTACCAAGAATGTAAAAGGAAACAAGTAGAAATCAGCAGTGTGGAGTGTCTGTGGTAAGAAAACATGAACTTTGTGCTTCACTGTCAATCGTTTTTGGAAGTTATTTTGTATAACACCAAAGCTGTTGTACATTTTCTACTGCCTGATTTTTTTTCATGTGTCTATGTTTATAATATTGTATAGTATCTTGTGTTAGGTGACGAGATTATTTTTAATTTTGATAATTTAATATTCCTAGTGATCAGCATTGGGAGTGGGTTTTTGTGCTTGTTAGGGGCATGTCTATACTTAGAGGAAAAAAAAAGTCCAAAAGAAGTTCCCCCTCCATCCCCTTTTCCCACACACAGCTATCTTTTTTTCTTTTTGGCAGCAGTGGCCATGCCAGATCATCGATCTTACAGAATAATTTTGCCAACGATACTGCATCTTAGTGGAATTAGGACGTACTGAGATGTTTGTTAAGTGTAGATGTGGTTTGTGGTCTTAGATGGACAGCATTAGAGAAGACTGGTTAGAACACCTAGTCCTGCTAGTTAGTGCATCAGTGGGTGAGGATTAGGGAGTACATTTCTCCTCGTTTTCCATGAGTAAATCCCAGAGTCTCCAGAGCTTTTTGTTTACAGAATAAAACTACAAATAAAACCAACCTGATTTTATTTGTGCAGAAGGAAGCTGGCTGAGCTGGCCTTTTAACATAGGAGTACAGAATGTATTTCATTGGAAACGTGCTGTAAAATCTCAGAACACTGAACACTTACAAACTTCATTTTCCCTTGTAACCAAAGCTTCAAGGTAGAAGTTTAGAGAAATAGTGAGAATGGTTGGGCACATGATCCAAGTATTTAATGATAATGGTTTATTGTAAGGGTGGTGTTTGTTGTTGAATGGTAACTTAGAAGATCTCAGAGAAAATGGACAGCATAGGTCTTCAGAAACCATAAAAGAATTTCCATATGGTATTAAAATCCATAGACTCAAATCTGAGGATTTTTTAAAATATGAACGTCAGCCAAACATAAGCTACCAAAATCAAAGCAATATGTTATGGTTGTTTTATATTTCAACAAATTTTCCCAAGGTGGTGAGTGTTACTTTACTTTAAAATATATTTTAAAACATCAGTATCAAAAAAGAGCTTGACACAGGATTCAGTGTTACACTTTTTGGCACTTTTTAGCAGCCTTTTCTCTTGTATTTGAAATAAGGTCTTTGCTAGCCCTACCTTTACTTAGAAATTTAGTCCTGCTGTAAAAAATTAGGTGCATTTTAAAACATAATGCCACCCATCGTGGTGTATGTCTATATAAATTGTTCTCTTTGGGAGAAAATATTATCAAATTGGGCTTATAATTTGATTATGTTAATTTAGGTTTCTTTTTTAATTGTCCAGAGAATTTGTAGATCTTGATATAAAGTCATTGAAACACATTTATCTGTTTTACCAGAAAGACATCTAGGCAGATAACATAAAAGATTAAAAATTGTTATTCTACAAAATTTTAAATGAATCTTATATTTTGTAAAAAAGAAAATAACATATGAATGGTCAAAAAGTTGCCCTCCATTCACTGGCAGATAACTTTATCTTGTCTTCCTGAAGGATTTCCCCTGGTTTCTCAGTTGTGCTTTGTCCTGTTGTTTTCAAAAAGCTGGATACTTTCATAAGGAAAGCATTTGCTGGCATAATATTTACTTGGGTAGCATCAAGATTTTATTATTAACCAATAGTCTTATAAATATTTAAAACCTCTAGGTCAGAGAGTGCTAGTATTGCTGCCCTTCTTCACGTGGAATTTTTTTAAATAATAGTTTTGCTTCATTTTACATTGGGCTAAAAGTCTTCAAGGAAGTTAATTAGGAAAGAAGACCTTTTTTGCTTCATTTTTACTATTTATAAATTGAAGACAAATCAACATTTGGGGTTAGTTTTACATGACCTGTTATCAAATGGTCATAGTATGGAGTGTGCATTTGTTTATTAGCAAATTATGTTTGATTTTTAAACTATTATTGCTAACAGATGAGATGAAAACTAAAGGAAAATGTCAATGTGAAGTTTATGTATAGCTAGCCTTAAAAAAGCTCCATGTTTTTAGGTGATTTTTCCTGTTAGTTCTCTGGAGAAACAGTGGAGATTGGACATCTCAATTCCAGATGTAAACACAAAGTAATTTTTATTTTGACATTTAATATAACTGTTATTACCGTGGATTCTTGTCTTGTGTTTTTTCTTTCCCTATTCAAGTAAGAGAGAATAACTTTTCCTCAAATGATTTGATCCTAGATATGTCATTTCTGTCTTGGCAAAATGCTATCATTAAAGTGTAATTCTTGAATTTAGGTTGAATTGATGACTTTTTAAAACAGAGAAGGACTGGACATTTCTACATTGTATTGCATTTGCAAACACACACACACACCCTCACTCACTCACTCACTCACTGGAGAATGTAGTGCCAGTATAAGAACACTGGCACTTTTTTTTTTTGTGAGGAGATCAGCCCTGTGCTAACATCCGCCAATCCTCCTCTTTTTTTGCTGAGGAAGACTGGCCCTGGGCTAACATCTGTGCCCATCTTCCTCCACTTTATATGGGACGCCGCCACAGCATGGCTTGACAAGTGGTGCATGGGTGCACCCGGGATCCGAACCAGCGAACCCCGGGCCGCCGCAGCGGATCGCGCGCACTTAACTGCTTGCACCACCGGGCCGGCCCCAACACTGGCTCTTTTTTAAACTTCACAAGTTAGCTGCTTATTCTCATTTTCAGGATTGAGTATTTTCGGCTCTCTACCTACTGTGATTAGTTTTTTACATTGTAAAATTAAATGATTATGTTTAAAATACTCCTTTAGAATGTTACCTATTCAATCACCATCAAGAAAAGACAACAGTAAAATGTCTTACCACTAAAGTATTATTAAAAGCCTCATTTGTGGAGGTTCTCTGACTTCCTTGGCTGAGCTGTCTTGTATCTCCTTATTTAATTTGCCCTCAATCAGATGGTTTCCTTGCAGCCTGTTTACTGCCCTGTGTCATTTTTAAAACAGCCATCATGAGTAAGAGCTCCTTTCAAATAATCCCTGGCAATATCTTGGCATTAATACAACACAAGGATAAGACAGTATCTGTTCTCATTCTCTTCTGTTTTATATGAGTGCCTCATTTTGTAGTCGTGAAATTAATATAGTACCTTAAATGAAAATGTAATGACTGTAAGGCCTGGAAGTGACTGTTGTAGAAGCTAAATAGAATACTTAGTCATTTGGGACATCAATTTTTCTATTAAAGCAAACACCTTAGATACCCAGACTAATTTTATGTATATATTCTAAAATGCTCCCTTTTTTATATGGTTGGTTGTTGCCTCCTGAGTCGAGAGAACAAAATTGAATAAAGTGAATGTTAGTTGTAGCCTAGTTTTTTTGGTTTGTTTTTGCTTTATTGCAAGATTGCTTCAGAATTACAGACATGTGCATTATTGGTTAGCATAGGTAAGATAATCCAGATATTTTTTGATATAATAAGTATGTAAGAAAAAGAACTGAAGTTACATGTTATTATAGCCCCTCTGTTCGGTTTTCAGTATAAATTTAGAAATATAGTTGCAGAGGACACATCCCTCCTTTTCCCTCCCCACACTGTAATTATAGACCATCTTCACGGGGAAGAGTAAAGCCCCTCATCTTGGGCCACCCACCTCCGAGCCTCTGCTACAAGATCCAAATGTCAGAGCTTCACCGGGTTTTCTCTTTTAGATGGATACTTGAATAGAGTAAAACCAATCAAATCCATTTTATGTAAGTGTCTTTATGTGTCAAGAGAAAAAGGAAAGGATTGCATGAGGTTTTTTTCCTCTTTAGTGCCCTGTATAAAGAGAATGTTTTGTTTCTGATTTTTCTTTGTTTCTAAGTTCTCATTTTTTCTATGATTTTTTTTTAATGAAGTGTGTTTTTATTTATTTTAAATGCAGTAGTGGTAGGCGAAATGCTATTTAAACCATAGAGCATCTTTAATCTGTGAAATTGAAATTTTACAGCAAAGGAAATTGCGTGGTGAATCTCAGAAAGTGGCCGTTAATTTCCCCCTCCCACCCTGCACTGTGCAGCCACTCTTGTTGCAGACGTAGAACCCATATCACAAGTGGATTAAGGGTCTGAGGAAGTAACATTCTCCCTCCTTACCCTCCCTCATGTTTTGTTGGTGTCTGTTTTGTTTGCAGCACTGTACTTAGTACTGTAGTTGAATGAAGTATGGGGTCTGCCTTCAAGGAGCCCAGTTAGAGTGGAAAAGAACAGAAAAATGAGCAAAAGCTTCTGTTCTAGAGATGAATAAAATGCCACGAGGAACACAGAGAAAGGATCCACCTGGGGGAGTCTGTGATGACCTAGTGGCTGGCGCCCTTAATTACTGTTTTGTATATTTAGGCACCCCCCCCCCCGCCAGTTCCTCTTTCAGCCTCCTGCAGTCTACTTCCACTCAGTGCCACACTTCACTAAAACTATCAGTATCTCAACAGCCAATAACCTGGGTGGAGGTCCCTTTTTGTACCACTTTACATTGTTTAATCATCTTCTGAAATGTCTACCTTTACATATGTAACAGTGCCTGGGTCTTTCTGCTTCTCCATGTTTGTTCAGTAACTCTAGGACAGGAAGCTTCATGCCAGGAACCTCATTTCTTCACCCCTTTGTTCTTGGCTGAACTGCATCAGTCTCTTCTGCTAGCTGCACAAGTCCATTGGTCTGATGGAGCAGCATAGAGAGTCCAGAAATAGACCCACGTATATAAGGATAGCTGATTTTTGACAAAGGTGCAAAACGAATGGTGCTGGAATAATTAGACATCCAGATGCAAAATTAAAAATTGATCCATATCTCGATGCAAAAATGATCTCAAAATGGATTATAGTCTTAAACATAAAACCCCAAACTTTTGTATAACTTCTAGAAGAAAACAAAGGGGGAGGGGCCGGCCTGGTGGCGCAAGTGGTTAAGTGCATGCGCTCCCCTGCTGTGGCCAGGGGTTCGCTGGTTCGGATCCTGGGCACACACCGACGCACTGCTTGGCAAGCCAGGCTGTGATGGCATCCCATATAAAGTAGAGGAAGATGGGCATGGATGTTAGCCCACGGCCAGTCTTCCTCAGCAAAAAGAGGAGGATTGGCAGATGTTAGCTCAGGGCGGATCTTCCTCACAAAAAAAAAAAAAGGGGAAAATGATCAGCCTTGGGTTAGGCAAAGATTTAGATTAGATACAACCCTAAAAGCACAATCCAGAGAAGAAAAATGTGATGAATTGGACTTCATCAAAATTGAAAACATCTGCTCTTTGAAGTATACTGTTTAGAGAACAAAAAGACAAGCCATAGAATGACAGAAAATATTTGCAAAACATTGCTGATAAAGGACATACATTCAGAATATATAAAATAGTCTCAAAACACAATAGTAAGAAAATGCATTTGCCCATTTAAAAAATGAGAAGCTGTTCAACATCATTAGTCATTAGGAAAATGAAAATTAAAACCATAATGAGATACCACCACATATGTATTAGAGTGGCTAAAATGAAAAATACCACACCACGTGCTGGTGAGCATGTGGAGGAACTGAAACTCTCATATTCTGCCAGAGGGAATGTAAAATGGTACAACCTCTTTGGAAAATAGTTGGGCAGCTCTTAAAAAGTTAAAATGTGTACTTACCACTCCTAGTTATTTACGAAGAGAAAAGAATGCTTAAGTCCATGTGAAGACTTGTACATGAGTGTTCATGGTAGCTTTATCTGTGATAGCCCAAAGCTGGAAATAATCCTCATGCCCATCAACAGGTGAATGGATAAATGATTATCTATACAGTGAAATATTGCTCAGCAATAAAAAGGAATTAACTATTGATATACACAACATGGACAAATCTCAAAATAATTATGCTGAGTGAAAGTAGACCAAAAGTGTACTGCATGCTTTCATTTATGTAAATTCTATAAGATGCAAAGTAACCTACAGAAATCTATAGACAGCAGATCAGTGGAGGTGGGGTTGGTGAGGAGGGACTTGGAGGGATTTCAGAGGGGCATGAAAAAACGGGAGAGACAGATGTGCTCACTGTCTTGATGTGGTTCTGGTTTGACGTGTATATGTATGTCAAAAGTTACCGAATTGTACATTTTCAATTTGTGCCATTTGTTGCATGTTAATTACACCTCAATTTTAAAAAGTAAAACATGCTATGTTCATACATGGTCTCTAACGGACCACTTCATATCCTCTCTTTCCTCAAAGCTCCACCTTCTCATTTCTCACTTGGCTGATGATTTTTATTCTAATTTTACTGAGAGGATGGAAGCAATCAGAATGGAACTTTTCACAGGTTCACACCCTCTCTGACCCATCACCCCCTGTATTGAGTGTGCTCCAGGCAGCCTCCTTTTTCCCACAACAGGTCAAACCTTAGGAGCTTTGCACGTGCTATTTGCCATGCTTTAATGTTCTTAATCCAGGCTCTCTCCATCCTCCTCATTCCTTTACTGAAGTGTCATTCTTAGTGAGGCTTACCAAAAATTGCGGCTACTGGCGCATTCTTGTTTCCTCTTCTGCCTTATTTTTCTCTTTCATATTTATTAACATACTATACAGTTTACCTATTTTATTTATATTTGCATGTTTTCCCTCATTTGAATGTAAGCTCAGAGATTTTAAACTATTTGGGGATTACTAGTATATGCCAGAACAGTCTTTGGGACATATTTGGCATTCAGTAAATATTGTTGAGTAAGTAAATAAACGAATCAGCGGGAATCAAAATAATGTGTATAGGGTTAAAATAAAACCTGAAAGCCCTGTGCCGTTCCCCAGAGGTAACCGCTGTCAGTAGTTTAGTGCATGCTTCCAGACTGTGCTCTGCATAAACGTACGTTCGAAGGTCCTTCTGTCACAGGACAGGTGGCTGCTCCCCACCCTGCTCTATGGGGTGCTTGCTTTCATTTTATATTTCATGAACATCTTTTTATGTTAGTACATAAATAGCTACTCCATTTTAATATTTTTGCTGTATGTATTCCATTGTGTGGATAAGGCTACGGTTTTTTTTGTGTGTGTCTGAGGAAGATCAGCCCTGAGCTAACATCCGATGCCAATTCTCTTTTTGCTGAGGAAGATTGGCCCTGGGCTAACATCTGTGCCCATCTTCCTCTGCTTTACATGGGACGCTGCCACAGTGTGGCTTGACAAGCGGTGCGTCGGTGTGTGCCCGGGATCGGAACCTGGGGACCCTGGGCGGCGGAAGCGGAGCGCGTGCACTTGACCGCTATGCCACTGGCCAGCCCCAAGGCTATGTTTTTTTTAAGTTTTCTGACAGTTGACC